GGACTTTAACCCAAAAGCCTCCAGGAGACGGAGACAGTCACAACTTTGGCTGCGTCTAAAACCGCAGAGCCTACTACCGCACTACATAGTATGGCAAAAATAGTTCACCACCAGTACAGGTCCGTTCACTAGTGTAGTGTGTGTAGGATGGTTTTGGACGCAGCTTTACACTTACCTCAGGAACATTTCTGTTGATTCTCTGTGTTCTGGGTATTTTCAGGTGATAGTACTTTCAGTGCTGCTTATAGCAAGTACTTTAACTTTACAAAATCTGTTGATAATTACATTATTAAGAGGTAAACAAAGTAATTCAGAGTGGTTTGGTGTGAAATACTGCTCTCTACATACCGACTCTGAATTGTTTACAGTGGTGGTGATAGGAACCAGACATCTGAAGTGTGTAATGGCTCTGAGAGCTACAGGCTAAATAGTACCCAAAAAACACATACAATCTCAGAGGACGCATGTAAGTTTACTGGTCATTTTGGAAGGTAAATACAATGGTTGTAGACACCATGACCCCTGGTTCCTATCACCACCACTGTAAAAAAAAACTGAGTCAGTGAATTTCTCTACAATGAACCATTTCAAATCAAACTACTCTGAATGAAAAATGCCCCTTTAATGCCAAAGGTTCCAGCAGAGGTGAAGAGTACTTACTTACATGTAGTACATTGCGTGTAGATAGAACGAGACAGGAATTTATTGTTCCCCAAGGGTAAATTTGTAAGTGTACCGCTTTACTTTCCTGCTATTTTATCCTCAGTTGGGCTACATTTGTGAGGAAATGGGGTCTACTTTTTGCTCAGTTACATTTTAGCCATTCACATTTAGCTCATGTTTATGTTTAAATTCATTCCGATCTGTTATTCCTGTACTTACTCCACAACACTGCTTGCTCACACCTCTCAGTTTAGAGCTAGCCTTTTATTTTAAACCTACAAGTCCAAAAAAAGAATAGCACCTAACAAACAGCCCATGCAAACTGATACACCAAGATGCATATGCAGAAGTTTAATTGGCATTTTTTTGGTTACTTTTACTTCTAGTTGAGAAAATATTTCATTGACTTAGTAATAACAGAATCACTCTAGGCTGCTCTAGGCACCTCTGTCTGACAGAAACTCTCTCATACCAGCCACCGTAATGATTAGGAACATCTGACAACTTAAACTCACAAAATAAACTGCCTGGAATGAACATTCGTCGACTTATATCCACACAGCACAGCTAAGTTATTTGAATCTCGACCGAGTGAACTTCAGCCAATGCAGTCAAACACTCTGGTATGAAGTGTGGTGTTTTATCTGCAAACATTCATTGTTTTATCATTCATCTTTCAGTTACACAGTACAGTTGTGCATTTGAATAGTTGCACCTCAGACCGCTTACTCATTACAGTTCTTTAGGCAGTCCATGCCATGTAGACCATGCGTGTCCACACTCTGTGTGCTTATACAGTGTTAAGGGAACCGATTTTAAGGGCATTTGAGAAATGAAATAGTGTTGTCTGACCTGAGGGGTGTGTGTGTGTGTGTGAAGGGGGGGGTTATCAACAGAAGGCCTTTGAATGACATGTTTTACACATTTCTGGCAACAAATATCTGACAGCAGGAACCAACTAAACTTCAATCAGCTTCTAAGGTTCACCTATTTTTAACTTTATTTTACCTACATAATGTAAGTAAATGATGTAAGTAGATTTGTAGTGAGATAATGAATAGTGAAAGGGCCCATAGCCTACATTCTTCTTGTATTCTTCCCCTGAATGAAACTTGTGTGGTTTTATGTACCACAAACAGTCATAATTCATTATGAAATGAACATTTTCCAACCTCTTTTTATCCCTTTAAAATAAACAGCCCATGTTTGCTACTGTACCTTTAAGATGAATATATGTAGATGACTTCTTTTCTGATGGAAATGTCAGTTGACCTTTATGATATATTCATATTTTATGATAAACGGACCAATAGAATTGATCCAAAATTACCTTGAAAAAACTATTAACTTCTATTCAAAAAAATGAAAAAAGGTTTTTTCGTTCCCCTGTATGGTTATCAGTTTGTGGTGATCCAATGTTTTATCCCAACTGTGACAATATGTAAATGACCTATGTTCTCATCGGTTGCCATGTATACACTGTGCCTCATTTAACTAGCAGTCTGTGCTGAAACACTCCTTAAAAATACAGTGTGAATGGGCGGAGTGGGGAATAGGAAGCTATAGGTGGGTATGACATCACAAAACAATGAACTCAAAGTGGGCTCTTTTGAGGCTTAGTTATCCTATACGGACGGCATGTACTGAGGGAGTGAACACCGCGTTCTTTAACAATGTTTACATGTTAAACTTAAACTATTAAAAAAAAGTGAATAAAATGCAGTGTTGCGTGATATGGACTCTTTAAGCTTCACATCAGTGTGTGAGCTTTGAAAATACCTTTCTCTGTTGAATGGTGACCGCTGTCACTGGAGATACTTCCTGTGCAGATACTGTGATAAGCCATGTGGCTAAGCATGTGACTCTAGTGACTACCAGCTAACCAGTAATATGCAGCTTACAACTCTATGCAGAACTGAATAGACAAAGTTTATTTTACCAGCAAGTACATTTCATAGAGCACTCCTAGTCCACACTAATCAGCTGATAGTTTAAGTTCAGAGCACAGTTAAAGGAGCGTGAAGTGATTGCAATTTGCATCTGAGCACCTAGCCGGACATGATCTGTGCCAAATTTTGAGACTGGGCTACTGTTCAAGCAGCTGTCGCTGAAACCCTGCTGAGACCAGACAGTGATCAAGCATGACAGACTAATAACGCTGAAACAGTTATTTCCATGCAGTTGAAGGCGAATTTCAGATTTTTCAAAATGTCTGTATAGTTAAATGGTTAAGATGTAAACAACATCATTCAGAGTGGTTTGATGTGAAAGGCTCCATTATAGAGAAAGTCGAAACTGTTCACAGTGGTGGTGATAGGAAAAAGACGTATGAAGAGTTTGATGTCTCTAAATCTCCCTCACAGATAGCATTAAAGCATTAAATGGTTATGAATACGCTGCCTGATGCCTGAGACTTTGTTAAGTTTAAACAGTTTTGAGGGTTTGGACTAATATATATTGTCACTGTTCATGAAAAACAAGTATCTCCAAAATGGCAACTTTTCAGGAGAAGGCAAAAACATTCTTTGCTTTCAATGTAAGTTAATGTACACAGATTTTATTCCAAGCAATTTAAATTTTCACGCAATGTAAAGCTGTGTTCAAATGATGCAGAAAAATGAAAGTCAAAAAATGGAGACAGTAACAATATATTTTTTTAATGCATCCAAGGCATATGCAGGATGTTGTGAGACAAAATAGTCCCCAAGGAAAATGCATTTTTTCAGATTTACCATTATCAAAATTACATGTAAGTCAGGTGTATGCTCACTGGCCATTTTGGATAGTAAATAAAATGGCTATATTTGCATTGTAGACATGAACCCCTAGTTCCTACGAACACCACTGTAAAGAAAAATTTGTACAGAGTAAAGATTCGGTATGTTCCGGCAGAGTGCAACATTTCCCATCAAACCACCCTGAATGAATTTGTTTACATCTCAATGACTGAATTACATAGAAATTTTGAAAGACTGGTGGAATTCTTCTTTAAGGGGAGTGACCAATCATTTACAAATGTTGTGGCATTGTGCAATTTTGCAAGCCTTTCAGCAGTTAAATATTGTTACTATTTGTAAGTAATAAGTTACTGTTACATTAAAAACAGCAATTTATTAATGCTCACATTGTACGTTACCAGATAAAATCAGAAAAAACATATTAGGATGTTATTCTTCTTTGATTTAAAATTAGCGCCACATATTTGTTCCTTTACACTCTGCTCACCACCCTCGACATCACACTACAGCAAATCGATGGCAATAAATATAGTATTAATGTGGGAATTCCACCGATGTTTGCATAATTTCATTGTTGCAATGTAAGCAACGTCATTCACAGTGGTTTGATCTAAAATGGCTCATTGTAGAGAAAGTTAGTGTCAGGTTTATTATATGGTGCTTATTACATGATACACATGTCTACAACACAAATCTAATCATTTTTTTTTTGTCCAAAACAACCAGTAAACTTACACGTTTACATGCCCATGAGTTTTTATATGTCATGTTCATAATGGTAAAATAGCCATAAACCTAAAAAAGTAAATTTTATTTGAGGACTATTTACCTTAGATCACCCTTCATGTATCCCTCCACCATGAACAGATTAAAATAAATGGATTAATAAGTCATTTTAGGTCAAAACTTTATCACAAAACTATTGTAAAACAATGTTTCAGACATCAGACAGCGTTTTCATAACCAATTTGTGTAATAATTTTCTGTGAGGGGGCTTTTAGAGGGGGGCGGCACGGTAGCGCTGTTGCCTCAAAGCAAGAATGGCCTGGGTTCGATTCCCGGCCGGGCGACCGGGGTAATTTCTGTGTGGAGTTTGCATGTTCTCCCCGTGTCTGCGTGGGTTTCCTCCGGGTACTCCGGTTTCCTCCCACAGTCCAAAGACATGCCGTCAGGCCAACTGGACATGCTGAATTGCCCCTAGGTGTGTGTGAATGTGTATGTCTGTCTGTCTGCCCTGCGATGGACTGGCGACCTGTCCAGGGTGTATCCTGCCTTCCGCCCAATGACAGCTGGGATAGGCTCCAGCACCCCACCGCGACCCAGAAGGATAAGCGGTTTTGATAATGGATGGATGGAGCTTTTAGAGGTGGACGTCTGGTTCCTGTCACCACCACTGTGAACGGTTCTGCCTCTGTAAGTTTCGCTAGAATGGAGCATTTCACACCAAACCACTCTGAACTCTATTTTAACCAATTAATTATGTAGAAATTTAGAAGACTTGGCGGAGTTCCCCTTCCCTTTAACATACTTTCGTAACCCAGGGTGGTTGAATTGGACAGGAACGCGCACTATTTGAGAAAATACATTCGATGCTATGATTAAAGGGGAAAGTATAGAAAGTCTACTAATTCAGCGTTAGATGAGGTTCGGATGTTGGATCTTTGTCTCGTGAGACGTGTCCTGAGTTTGTCCGCGGAATGTTTCAAGCGGAATATTTCAAATCGCTTTTTCTCTGTGCGGATGGTCCTCCTCGCGCCCCGTACGAACATGTGTCGAAGAGTCGCGGCTGTGAGTTGGAAGAGCGGAAAGTTTGGAGAGCTGGTAAGAGACTTCAACTAACCAGACTCCACACGGGGCTCGCACTGTTTACATACAGACACCTTTTCCACAGACGCGTTCAGCGCAGAATTCAGGAGAAACAGCCAAATAGTTAACAACAGAGCCGAGTCTTCAGCTTGGCGTTCAGCTACAAAGCTAGTAAACTGTTAGCCCTGAGTGAACTGTGTCCACAGCCAGTTCAGCTCTGTGTAAGAACACAGAAAGTGCATAAGGGGGCATTAAACTCGTTTTTTCGCTCGTGCTTAATTCCAGTGAGTGCCTGTTGTAAGACACAAACCTGCAGCTGGTGGACGTGGACGTGGACGCTGCTCACCGGCTAACGTTACAGGCTCGCACACGGCCACGAAGCTGAAGTTGGCTTCTTGTTCGAATTTTACCGTTCCACCTTAAATGGTGCAGCAGTTAAGGTGGAACGGGAAAATTCGAACAAGAAGCCGGCGAATAGGAAGCCAGCTTCAGCCTCGTCACGCAGTTGCTCTCTGAAGCCCCCTTCACGCCCTGCCACCTGTCATTTCGCTCGTCCCGACCCCCTGTGTTATTTTGTGAAGTGATGGGCGCTGTGACTGGACTTGCCTGCCAGCCCGGTGGTTGTTTGCAGCACAGAATAGTCGTAGACAATGTAGTATTATTTGTAGGCACAGAGGCAATGCAGAGCAAGCAGTCCAGAGCAAGCCACATTGTTTGCAGCTAAAGTAAGTAAGTGCAGCCTGGAAATCCCTGGAATATTTCCACCTCTGCGCTTTGCTGACAGCTGCTCTGTTTGCAAGCCTCTCTTCGCTGAGCCATTTGTATGGTGACTGATTTTACTTTCATTTATGCTTGGTTTGATTTTTTGTTGCTCACTCATTATTGGAACAGATGTTCATCCAATGCTAGCTATATGCTATTCAGTGCTAGTGCAGCTTGCTCAAACACTTAAAGGGCCCATTTTTTGTAAATGAAGCTTGATGTAAACATTAAGGTTTTGAAATTTATACTTTAGTCTATACAGTCTTTATATGGAAATTATGCTGCAAAAAGCAGCCCAGTTTGAATACTCTGTTTTTCTGTGATGTCACAAAGACCAATGTTTATATACATGCATATTGAGCCTATAGCAGTTTAGCCCCGCCCATTCAGACTGAAGTTATATGAGGTATTTCAGCTTGTTTTTGTTGTTTTTGACTGGAGCATTTACATATCGCCACTGTCAGGATAAAACCTTGTGTCTACCAAAATTGTAACTTTACAGGAGAAGGAAAAAGCCTTCCTAATTTTCAATGAAAGGTGGGAAAAGATTTTTTTTCAAGTAATTTCAGTTAAAAAATCTAATGAATAAAAGGAATTCAGCAAGTGGTCATGTAAAAATGAATATTGGCATTTGGGCTGGGCAATGCATGTTTTGTTAAAAAAAGTGCGTAATTAGTCCTATGTATTTTGATGCAGTACAACATAGTATTTGAAAAGTTGAATAAAAATCATTTGTACTTAAATATTTTTGATTGTATTTTCTCAATGTGGTGCTACTGGTTCTTTTTTTGTCCATTTCAACTTAAACCTCAGAAAAACTAAATACTGTGATGCTTATCATGTACCATGAAGTACCGTCATACTGTATTTTTGCCAAATCCACCCCTATACAAACCCACACAACCATTATAAATGGGCCTCTTTAATGGGGAAAAAACAAAATGCAAGAGAAATGTAGTATGTGGGCCCTTTAAGCACTTACTGTGAAATCTGAGAATTTCCTCTTTGAGTATTTCTTAACGTACCATAATGACCACATTCTGTCTCCTGAGCATCTATGCAAGTGTGACACAGTTGAATTAAACAGCTGCAGATACAACATGTCTAGTCCCAAAAGCGTCACAGCAGCCTATTAAAATGATCTTAATAGTTCAAGAGAGTGTTCAGGTTGATGCTAACTTTTGTTTGGGTTTTTGTATTGCATTCCTTTTGCAAAATCAACTCCAGACATTTCATCATGCTTGCAAAGTCTTCCACATTCATAAGAGTTTGTGTTAAGGCCTACCTGCTTTCCTGTGTAGAAACCCGCTTGTTTTTTCCTCTGCTGTCTGAAAAGATGTCACTCATTAGAGAGAGAGCAGTTTGTGGAGCACAGAACCACGCTGCCTCTGTCACTTATCGGTGCTGAGAGGGTGGGGCAGAGTAAGTCAGACTTCTGTCCTCACTATCATGTTCCCCATGTTTGAATATGTGCCTTCATGTCCTGTAGCCAGACGGCATTGTCAATCAGACAACAGCTGGTAGCCCCATGACTCGGCATTGTCATTCACTATCAGAAAACCTGAGACTCCAGCAGTCAGCAACTGGCCGCTGTTGCTTTGGCCAAAGGAGTCTTGTGAATAATGCATTCTGCTGATGAAAAGATGTGTGCTTTCCACCTGTCAGTCACTGTGCTTAAAAGGCTTGGGGGGGTTCACTCTGTAGTATGTGTTTACTTAAGCTGAACAGGAACTGTGTTGTAATGCAGTGAAATTCCTAGACCTTTTGACCATTTTGTTTTGAATGTTCTTTTGTTGTGTGAAAGCTAGTTGTGAATAGAGATTGATTTTATAGCTTTCTGATTGAGATGTCCCACACTGTACTGGTACATTTGCCCACAGATCTAATTATATTAATTGAGGTCACTGTGAACAAGAAATCATATATTGTGTTTTTCTTTTGTACTGTAACATATTTCTGACCCTCCAGTATCAGGGAGGGTCTCTGAGCTAACTGTACGTTTTCTGTCAATGATAGGTGGGTGTGGTGGGAGGGGAAGGTGAAGCATGATTTTATTGATTAATATTTTCTTGGCATGGTGATGTAACCAAAAATTCATTACATTTTAGGGCTGTACTATAGAGTTTATACTATAAAGTTTTTTTTTTGCTACATAATTTATCTAACCTGTGCTTTAAGTAAAGAAGACCGACAATTCCAAAAGCACCATTTTATCATGCACCATTGGCTAATGTGCAAAATACAAAATGTAAAATAATGATATATTTACACCTACTTGCATCACAATTGCAAGCACAGTTTTGTGCACTGTCAAGCTCTTAGAAAAAACAGTCAGCATTCCTTGAACAGCTTTTTCGGCATATTCCTGAAAAATAAAATAAATAAATAAAAAAGTGTGTATATTTTTTACCATACAATATATATTGATTCCTTTAAAAGTTCCTTATGATGATGCAGGTTTATTGTGACAGTAGCCATTAGTGCTTTACACATTTTACACACAACACTTGGAGTGAGAATAATTATCACTTTTAAGCCAGGCTAGTACTTAAGTAATGCTTCCCTTTTCTTTGGCTTTATAGTAAAGTGGTTAAGTCACTGACTACAGGCAGGAGACCAGGGTTTTAGTCTGGCTCAGCTCACCACCGCTGTAACATAAACCCTGCCCTGTTAATGCTACATACCTGCCTAATAATATCTAATAATATCCCTCTTGGGCTGTTCGTGTGTTACGTAATTTGTAAATTTGTTCCATCATCGCATCCCTTAATGATGTATTCAGCACAGAAACTCTGATCACAATGATTGATTCTTGAGTAATATTGCTACCCTACTAGATTTTAACTGGAGGTTACAGTGAGAAAAGAATTTTTATCTCAACTTCACCAAGTTTGTTTTTAAGTTGACCATGAGGTGATAATGCCTTGAGATTAAGATGTGTCCATTGTCCTGCCCTGCCTAAGAGAGAATGATGTAAAGTCATTTAGTATCTAGATTAAATCTTGTTTTCGTGTGTTGCTAGTAAGAGATGTAGTCAGTTTAAGACAAGAATATATATGGAATTCAGTGCTGGTTTAATCCCTGTTGGAAACACTAGATTGTTTCAGCCGATATATAGCCTATATTGTAAATGGTCTTCTGTTTAACTGTGCTTCTAATTATTGGTGAACTGACCAGAGCTATTTGAGTTATAACTGAACTCTGTAGTGCAGAGTGTTTGGATTAAAAGACAGTATAGGTGTGTGCTAGGGCTGCACATTGTATTGTTTGTTAATCTTTATGGTGATATCAGCCTTTACATTACTGAAATTACAGAGGTCTGCAATATGAAAATAAGCCAATCATTGAAGGTTTTATAGAGTTCTGTGAGCATTCTGTTCAATCACAGATGTTTTTGGGGGTTTATAATTAAAATTATTAGGGTCAAAAATAATGCAGGCCAGTCTTTCACTACATCACATTGAGGGTTCACCAATGTATCTGAATATATTACGAGGCGTATCCACAACAATGTAGCAATGTATTGTAACTCAGTTAGATGGTTGGATATGATGTAGTTTTAACCATATTTTGCAGCCCTAATGCTAGTGTTGTGGTACTTAAGTCCAGTCTCAAACAAGTTAATGGTCTCAGTCTTTTCTCTGTCTCAGGGTAAGGCAGACTTGGTCATTGTTTTTGAGACCAGCTGAGTGCAGTGCCTTTGTCTGAGGAAACTAAACTTACTTTCTACAGTTATTGAATTTCAACAAAACCTACAAACAGAATAAAACCATCCTTTCTCTACATGTTTAAGTAAAACCTATTTGCTGCTGGTTGAGGATGTAATTAATCTTTTCATGATGGCTTAACTGAGCGTTATTTGCCTTTAGATGTTTATTGGTTCTAAAATTTAAACATCCACTGAGGGCAGATCAGAATGTTTTTATTACAGTGTTTTCATTTAATGATAAAAATGGATGCATGTTGTTTGGTTTATATTCAGTTGACTTTAGGCGATGATTCTAAATAAGTTTTAGAGAAGAAGGACAGAGAATTCCATTTACTTTCAAAAATTACTATGCAAATTTGGACTAAGGTAATAGAATATAATATAATAACAATTAATAATTTTTGTAGGCTATCTTAATCCTAGTAGAATATATTTACCTTAATCTAAATCTTAATCTGGTCTCGGTCTTGTCTCAGTCTCGACCACTGGTCTTGATCTTGACCTGGACTCAACCACTACAAAATCTACTCTGTGTCCAGATCTCTGTCTTTGACTACAACACTGCCTAATAAGTATGAAGACAACACTGAATAAAGCAATATGAACTCACAATTACTTTAAAGCTTTTAAATTCGGTTGAGTAATTTCTCATACTTGTGTGTCTTTTCCCCAACAGTGTGGATCAACTACAATGATCTGAGATGAATGAAACACTGAAGAAAAGATTTGAGTTCCCCAACTCTCTTATCCAAGCCCAGGTAAGCATCAGGCGGAGAGCTTTATCACCACTTAATACAAAATTTTTAAGGTTTCTGATAGCTTCATTTATTCATTAACAGAACTGTGTTTAATCTGGTAAATGTACCTTGTCATGAACCACTGTGAGAGTTTTTGATTCCATTGTTCACCAACAGTGATACTGAAACAGCAATTAGAATATCAAAGCATGAACCTGATTACTGGTCCTTGTGTCTGTGATTTTTAACTACATAACATAGCTCTGACCTCTTCCTCTGAGCTAATAGCAGACTTTGTTCTTCCAGAGTCACTCTGTACCTTTTCATCTTTTAATCTTCTTCTTTCATGACAAAGAGACGGCTTGAAGAAGATGATAAGTGCTGTTAGACATGCTGTCTGGGGCTTGATTACAGAAGTTTAGATGTTATTCAGTCTCTCTGTGCTCTGTCCCTGTAGGCTGTGAGGAGTCTGGTTACTGCAGTGCTGAAGGAGAAGGGCCACAATGAGAAGATATCAGAATCCACAACTCAGGTTTGTTGTACACTAACAATGATAGCAGAATATAGAAGCCATTGTCAATGAGACAACAGCCGGTACTCTTATTTTCCTGTAATATACTCCAGTATTTACTTACCTTTCCCCCAAAACTGTGTTATTATTATGTAAAAAAGGGAGATAAATTGAGGTGAAATGTTTGTGCACACCTGGCATTTCAAATTTTGAATACACTACTGTACAAAAAATAGATATCAATCGCTGCTGTTTTATTTAATAATGACGTACACAATGGAGATGTAAAAAATCGAAAAACTAGATACTAAAAACACTAAAATAAATGTTTTGAGGGGAACAAGTAGTTAATAAATGATTAATAATATACTGTAATTATATATTTAAAGTCTTCTACTAAGAGATGTGACCATCAGTTTTCAAATATGAGGCATTCTGAATATTAATTACATTATAACACAGCTCTAAATGTTTTTCAGCTTTCTCTGTCATTCTAGAGTCTTTTACAGCTCTGTTCATCAGTCTTGACCTAACATCTTATTTTTTACAGCTTCCTACAGTTTAATAGTTTAATGAACCAAGATGTTGGTTTTATATTATTGACAACAGTGATTACAGACTTTGGAAATGGTGATTCCAAACTTAGTCCAGACGCATTACAGTCATTGTGTGCATTGTGTGAGCTTGTTTTCTTTGTCGGTTTACGACAACATATTAAAGCTTGACTAGGTTTATTCTGATGAAAAAAGTATTATATGTAAATATTTGTCAGAATGATGACGCAGCCCACAAATTTTATCCTTGATGTGATGTCAGCACTGAACCCTTTAAGCTGTTTAAACCACCTTTGGGCCAAAGGATTTTCAACATGTGCTTTTAGCAACAGTCTGGAAAACTACTGCAGTCAAATAATTATTTTATCATTACCAAGAAAGGCACCTTGGTGAACATGAAGCCGAGTGTTACTAAATGTACAATATAAAGCAGGGGTGTCAAACTCATTCTGGGTAATGGGCCACATCATACCCAGTCCAGTGTCAAGTGGACCAGACCAAAAAAATAAGTTTAGTAGACCAATAACTCCTCCTGAATAGGTTTATTTATTGTCATTTATCTGAAAGCTGCTGAATTAACAAACTGATTGAACAAGTGTCATCTACAAATCAGAGACACTGAGACTAGAAATTAGTCAGTACAGCATTAAACACTGAGGATAGGTCAATTTCAAAAATGTTCTTTAGGAAACCTCAAGGAATGGAAAAGATTGTACGCACACAATTGGATTAGTATTCAGCTTCAAAGAGAAAATTTACCGCAAATGTGAGCGAAGCACAGACCTGTTTAATCTGACCAATTCACTAAACTGGGAATGTTAGCGCTAAACTGAGGTTATGTAAAGATCTGTTAGCCATCTTTACATTTTTGCAAGGTTATTGATTACTATTATTATTAAATAACTGACATTAGATGTCTGTATTTGCTAACATCAATGAAATAGATTGGATAGCATGTGTCCAAACAACATTTCTCAGGAACACAATTTTACGTCTCTTAGTGTATTAATTGTAACTAGTTTACTGCCACCGTCATCCATGCCAAGTTTGTTCTGAGTAGTTTTTCATTCACTTGTAGTAGTGCTTAAAGACAGTTGCAAAGCAGCAATTGGTTGAGCGATGTGTCAGTCATTATTAGCAAAAGGTCAGTTTCAGTTTGCAAGGTTAATGGGTTCTTAATTTACCTGGTGGGCTGGATAAGAATTGGAATGGGGCCAGTCCTGGCTTGCAGGCTGTACGTTTGACACCTCTGATATAAAGTATTAGTAAACTATTTTCTGCCAGCAGAACCTTTGCAGGTTTGTTTTCTTATTTAATTGAATGTAAATTCAAATGTAAAGAAGCCAAGCTGTTCTCACACTTTTGATGGGCAATGTTATACATAAGCAATATAAATAATAAGTCGCACTCATAAATGCTGTTTTGCTATGGTCTTTGATCATGCTGTCTGAAGGTAATGTGCATCTGTGTTTTGGCCGGCAGGGCGCTGCTCTGGAGGCACTGTGGGAGCAGTGCAGCAGTGAGAGTGGGGTGGTGCGCTCAGCGTGCTGTGATGCGCTGGTGCTGCTGGTAGAGCAGGGTCACGCTGACCTGCAGTATGTGCTCAACAGCATCCTCAACCTGCTGCCCTCTGCAAGGTACAACACTCTGACCATCCACAATGCACATGTGTAAAATCAGTGTAAAATAGGCACTTACAGAAAATCAACTTTAAATTTAAATTTAACTTTTTGATTAACCTCTGAAACTGCAAGGCATTGTATGTGTGCTCATACTTCAATTCTTCACTCTCATAACTACATAATTTACATATTAATTTCATAGTAATTACCAAAAAATAAGTCTTAAAACCTGTCACCAAAGAATGATCCTGTTTTTTACAGGGATTAATGTAGTTCCAAAACATTATGCCATGCCCTGTACAACTACATTAGCATTTTTCAACCTAATCTGTCTCTGCTGCATCTACACCATGCAGTCTATTACCACAGACAATCATTTCCCTGTGCTTAGAAAACAACAGAAGGCTCATTGTCTCGAAGCAGTTATAATAGAAGCAGATGGGCAGGTACTAAAGCATATGAAAATACCTGAAGGCCAGAATACAATTCAGTAATTATTATTAAAGTGTTTATATCATGAAAGCAAAATGTTCCTCACTGTCGTGAAATAAAATGATTGTAGTGTGTAACACTGTTACAGTTTCAATGCATACCATTCACTCCTCAGTCTATACAGTCCAAACATGCAAAAACAGCCTATTTTGAATACACCATTTTGTGATGACGTGAAAACCAACACATTTGTATTTACCTTTCTTGAATGAGGCACAGTACAGACAATAAAAACAGAAGTCATTTACATAAATTCTTAAAGGCACAGTAACGAAACAGCCTGTTTAAGTCTAATTGATAAAGAGAGCTTAAAAATGGTCATGTACGTGTGAACTGTGACTGGTTCATATGACCACATAAATATTATAAGTGGACCCCAAAACAAAAAATTGGAAAAATGTAGTGTATGTGCCCTGTAAAGGATGAAAAACCCACAAACAATGGGCTGAATTATTTATATGTATTGAACTTTAGTGTGAATATTAGCAATTGTGAGTGAAATATACTGTATCTTTAAATTGTTCAGGCTGAATGCACAGCACATTGTTGGTTTACAGTAGTGCAGTCATCATTCGGTAAAAACTAAAAATTGCAACATATTACAGGCCTGCGGGCCATCTAAATGCATTATGAAAGAGAAGCTTCAAGTTGGTTAAAATCTGCCTGTGCTAAACGTAACTGGAACTAAGTATAGAGAAATGTGTCTAAATGACTGTCTGTGGAATGTCACCATATGCTACACATGGAGCATCAGGAGGCTAAAAAGTGCTCAAACATTTCCTTTACATTAATGTTTTTAGATATCAGTCCTGCAGGTGTAGGGCAAGTGGCTTGCTCTGATGTACAGTAATATTAATTGGTGAGTAATGTCATGTGGTTCCCACTCTGTGGAGCACTGATGGCATCTTATCACCATGCTCAAGCTCCTGCCCCTCCCGGCTGGGTATTGCTGTCCTGTCATTCTTGTAGGACATAATATCAGCGACGAAAGTCAATGAGAATATTCCGAAATGTCTTCTCAGATCGATATGCCAAACACCACTGAATTACAGCATGTTAACCCTTACAAGTCACACTCGTCACTGGCAATAATAAAAGCATGCAGTTCAATAGCAATTTTTAAGATCTATAGTACAGATGTAGTACAGAATATTCTGTAGTGCAGATTGCAGACTTTTTCTACCAGTAGCCTTAAACCACTAGATTCAGACTCACTCAGCGCTCTGATTCTTCACTGGAGATCTTTACAGAACTTATCACTGCACACTCTATGAAAAAGTTGGTTGGTCCTCTCTAGCCGTGCAGCTGTTTAATTTGATGTTAGTTCCTCTACTGGTCTATTTTACTTTTTTATCTTATTTAAAAAAATGTATTTTTTTAATTTGTGTTTTTTTTTATTGCTTATTATCATAGTTTGTTCTTTTACTGAGAATTTGTTGTCAGTACTTATTTTCTTGCTATTTTATGCCTTATTTATCTGAGCTTTCATTTTTATTTCTTTATAAATCTTCTTATTCATTTAGTCTTGCTGATTTTGATTTGTTAATAAATTTTATTTTTTACTTTTTTCTTTAATCTGTGTTTAACTTGCTTGGCTACATTGTAAGCGACATGGTTGTACTATAACTGTGAACAAAGAAATTTCTCAACACCAAATCAGCAGTCCATAAGAAACAAATAACAGTTGAATAATGCAATAAAAGAATTTGTACAATAGGTACATAAACAGGAACATTTAAAAAGTACTGTCAGTGTGTCCTTTTTTCATTTAATTTTATTACTATTTTTATGCGATCTGTTTTTATTCTGTTGTTCATGTGTTATATGTTTGTAATAGAGTGGAGGTATTTTATCATGATTAGTATGTGATAAAGTTATTCTTGTGTGTATAGTCTTGTTTTTTGGAAAGAAACCTAATAATTTGTTTTACATTTTTGCCATGTTTTTGTCATTTCCTGGCATCAATACAAACAGAAAAAAGTTGGATGCGAGTTAGGCCTTAAACTGTCAATCCAGAATGTGAAGCAAGCATAAATGTAATAACATGTGTAACTCACTATGCAATTAGATATGTAATGCTGTAATTACACCTGAATACAAAGTGAAAGCGAAACCTCTCCTTCAAGGGTTAAGCCAAAGGCAGCCAGCATGCAGATCTAAGAACAGTGTTCTCCATGCCTTGCCTGAAATAGAGAAATTAAATTCATTTACTCAGAAACCAGAAAGCTGAGCAGACGATTTGTTTTTGTTTTAACTGAACTTACTGGCAAAATCATTTAAACTTTGGTCATTTTACCGAAGTGTGAAGAAAACAAATCAAACCCTTTGTTTAATTACTTTGTTCGATTTTGCGCATGTGGCAGTTCTGCTTGCTGATGTGATTATATGCCTGCACGACTGCGTCTTTGCTTGAAGTTGGCCACTTGGGTGACAGAGGCAGTAGACTGTGGGAGCTCATCTGCATATTCAGATATCAGAGCAGAGACGCAGCTTAAGTGCAGCCTCCGCCAGCTCTCATGTTTATTCAATGCATACTCGCGCATAAACAGCTCATGCTGTCACACTCGCCATAGTAATAGCGGATCGCTGCCCACGCGGCACATCCCCGTCCAACTGCCCCGACCATGCTGCTGCTGCATGAACAGAAAGCCTTGTGAAGAAGAAGAAAGTGGACGCTTTCACGCAGTAAAACCACTGGAATTTCATATGTCGAAGCTTAACTCTTAGAAGATGAGTTACTTAGTTTTTCTGTCAGTCAAATTAGTTAGGAAAGCATTAACTAATTAAATAATAAGTTGCATTTTTATATATTACCTTCAGTAATTCAAACTTGAACGTGAGCGTAAAATCACATGAACACAGGGAGAACATGAAAATAAGATAACAAGATAACAAGATAACATAAAAATATTTGCAGTTTTCATCCCTGACATCCTGCAAGAGCAACAGTGACTGGATGTTCCAGCTCCATTGCGATTACCACTGCATTATGTCATGTTTTCCCATTTAGCTATTGCTTTACTTTCATTAGTTTGCAGCTTGTAATTTATACATAGTTCTTTTATGAGCGCCGTCCAGTGTATTCTGCCGAAAGCTCCACAGTGCTAAAGTTACTGACATTACTGCCATTGCTGGCATTAATGTTGTGTTTTGCTTGTGAATAATACTTTGGACTCAATGTACTTCAGTGATAAACAAATTCATAGCATGACAGTAGATGGAATTAACTTTTATCAAGACAGCCAGAAATGGAACCTGCTGTTTAAAAGCTGTATTTCAACAAAATGACTACAGTGGCAGAGTCATAGCAACAACATGCAGGCAGCTGGGCATCAGGCTGAATCTATGAATGATTTGAAGGGTTAAACTAGGACAAAATGTCTCCTTAAAAAAAAAAAAGTGGCGTTAATAATTGATCATGCTAATGCACTTTAAAAGTGTTAACTTTTACACCATGCATGTAAATAATTGCGTAAATACCTGCTTGCTTATGTTATCAATTACATTTAATTTTAGGGATGCAGATTTGGGCAAAGTCTTTTGACCCGGTAACCAACCATCATTACTCCATGATTAGTCGTTAACCTGCAAGCCCAAAATCAACGACGCAACCCATCAAAATATCAATTATAAAACGAGTTGGTCCAGTACTGAAGGCTGATTGGTTGACCAGCCGCCAAAACCATTGCAAAATACCTGATGTATGCACACTATTGAGTGCACACATCAACTGAATTTAGCATTGGAAAATTAATTATGACCCTTTTTTGATACATAAAAGCACAAAAAATAAAAGAACATCAAGGGAAGAAATAAAATACAAGAATCTAGATATGGGCCCTTTAATCATGAATGTTCCTATTTAGAATAGATCTGGCGTCAGGTTTGAGATTGCAATTGACTTTTTCTGCTTGTTTTGCTGTCACGAATTCATAAAAACAGCAAAAATGAAAAATGTAAAGTCTGTTTTGAGACAAGATTATACTCACAACAATAACTTTTCATCCAAAAAATCTCCTTTTCTACTTAAAGACACAAATGCGGTATTAATTGAAAGTTTAGATTCTTTACTTTTGGCAAAATTAAATAAGAAATAATGCACATAAAATTTACTCGTGTTATTGCTGGCAATAAGCCCGACTTCTAAAGGATAAAATGCAGAGCAGATGAGCCTCATTTTAAGGGTTATTGCGCCAATATTTCAGAAACATGTTTTTTTCTTTTCCTTTCTTTCTTTTCGGTGTTCGGTGCTTCAGAGCGACTGAATAAAAATGCTTTATTTATTGAACTTTGAATTTTGTCTCTGAAGTGTTCAAAATGCATTTTTATGCCTAAGCTCTGCCTTCTTTGGCTACATTTTGATAAATAAATTCAAGCCCCAGCAAACTGGCCCTAAAATGCGTTTCTTCACACTAGCAGACGGTGTGTAGGTAGCAGACGAGAGCATGTCGGTGAAAGCTTTACGTTTCTGACATTTTACAGTGTGCAAACCCCACACTCACCACTGTAACCGCCACTCACACGAAGAACTTCACACATGCATGAAAATAGCAAAAGATGAAGGCAGAAATGCAGATGAATTTGCTGTCAGCACAGAGTTATGGCTTCCCTCTCGCTGAAATATAGAGTAATCAAACCCAGAGGAAGAGGGGACACACAGGCCGACTGAAAGATGAGTGCAGGATGAAGGAAAAGAGGGGAGGAGGGTGGAAGAAAGCACAGAGCAAACTGCCACAGCAGCGTGATTTATAATGTATGAGAAATCCTCATTCTGCATCCCATCCTGCAACCGGAGCACGCCCCAGTAAATCATTTTTCTATATCCGCAAATGCAGCTATCTATACTTAGACTTTCCATATCTGCACTTCACTCTCAGATGTGTTTTTCCTCGCAACTGTTGCTAGGTTGGACAAGCTTTACAGAACCTAATGAGTTTAGACTGGTTTTACATGGTGAAACTGTCATGCAACTAATTGCATGTTGTGAGTTGCTTGCAACATAATTTCTATGCAACTTGACAGTTACACGAAACAATAAAAAAAAAAAAATCAAAATTGCACATAACACATTCGGTTACTTCACAAATTAGCTGCTTGAAATTTTTGATACATGTTATCATTCTCAGTGTAAAGTCACCTGTGAGTCATCTTTATCATATTTGTATATTTTTTCCTGCTGTTATTGCTGCTCTTTTTTCTATATCTTTCTATCTGTCTTTTATTTATCTATCTATCTACCTGGGGGTTGTTTACTATATATTTATGTTTTTGTCTGTTTTGTGTAGTTTAAGCTGTTAAAAATGAATGTTTGGTAGCGGCCTATCTAATGTCTCACTCATTCTGTCCTAACAAGTTCGTTAAGGAGCACATCTCCCTTTTGATTCCAAAGTAATCTGAGCTCTGTGTAACATTAGGGGTCATTAACAGAGGGGGGAAGGAATTTACCTGCGTAGATTGGTGTAACAGCTGGCTAACCAAGAAGAATAAATGGTGGCCCAAGCAGCCATTGAAACAGCTGTTAGTGTTAGCTGGCCAGCTAACACAGCTGGTCACAGAAACTGGTTAGCGCAGGAAACTGACAAAATGTGACATCAGGGGTGGGGGGTGGTCTTCTTTTCAACTGCCTAATACACCATCTTCGATGTCGTTTTCAAATTATATCAGTCAACGTGATTGTGTGATGCATCATCGGCACTTTAATTGACTGTCATGAAACTTATCCCACAAAATCAAGACGCTTGTAGGTTTCAGGCAGTGGAAGTAGCATGAATGTTTCACTATGTAAAGCCAACTGTAGATTTAGAGTCATGACCTAATGTTTCCAGTTTAAAATGCTGCGCTACTAAGCTGCATTATGTCGTAGTAGTATCTAACTATTCAGGTTAAAAACACATCCAGTATGTTTGCCACCATGCTTGATTCGTTAGCTCAGGTAGCTTGACAAACATTCTACACCTGTTCTATCCTAACAGCATGATCTTTTACAGGTATACAAAGTAAATATCATTTGAAAATAATAACGCTGTTGTGTGCTACAGTTTCTCAGTGAATTGGATTTTTACCAGCGTTCTGGAAAGCTTGTTCAATGTTGCAATAGTTGCTACAAAACAACACATTGTGGGCAGAACATGAATATCAATATCAATCATAATCGCCATTGATAACTGTATTAATAAAGATCTTAAGTATTGATAAATGCCTGATGTTATTGTCGATGTTCAACAGCTGCCTATTTTAAAAACTATAGAAGAGAATCTAAATGTTATCTTTATTTTGCATTTTCTGGCTGTTTTTAACCCTCCTAGGTCCACCCAGTTTATATGCGTTGAAACACCTCCTACATTTTGTTTATTTATTTTTCACTTCAAGGTCAGGGAACAAAGTCAGAAGTGTGGATGCTAAATGTACAGTCAATACCTCATTGATGTTTATAAGTGAAAGAGGAAATGTTCTATTAGGATTTGCATTTGATGAAACGTTATTGTTATTCATGCAGTCTTGTTTTTGTGTAAAACAAATAATAATTTTACCCCAATTTTTTCCATGCTTTCTGTTTTTGAGATCAAAGCAAACAAAAGAATGTCTGTGCAAACTCTAGTTGGATATAGAATGTAAAGCAAATGAAAATGAGTTAATATGTACAGTTGTGTGCAAATATTGGTAAAATCTAAAGCTTTTGCACAGGCCACATTTTATGTTTTTTTTTTTCCCCCAGTATATTAAATTGCATAAATGAACTGTGGTTGTGCATTAGCATGTGCAGAAGGGTAGAGGTTAAATCAACAAAACTTGTAATTTGACAAGGGGCACCCAAACCTTTTGCGTGCAACTATAACTAACCATGTAATGAAATGTGTAAATATGTAAATACATGCATACTATTGCAATTGTTTTTCATTTTGTATAGCACAACAACAATACTAACTAGACTTCTAAGGATAAAACAAATAGGGGGGGAAAGAGGGGCTCAATGTGAAATATGTGACACCAATAGCTGCATTTGATTGAAGTTAACTTGGATGAATGTTTGGATTGTGGTCTGTTTTGGGCAGGAGCGTGCAGGGGCTGATTAAGGTGGTTGGGAGACTGCTGCAGATCCAAGCAAGTCAAAGAGATAAAAGAACATCCTTCACCTGCCCGTACTCCATCAGGTGAGGACTGCTACATCTGTCTGACTCTGCACTGAAACAGTGAGATCTTAAAGTAACTTTGAGCATGAAGTTGAAAGATCATTCATATTCGGTATTAGTTTAATACTAATTAATATCCAGATATCTATATTATGTCCTAATAAGAGCTGTGTGATGTAGTGTATGTCTGTAATATGTCCTAATAAGAGCTGTGTGAAGTAGTGTATGTCTGTAATATGTCCTAATAAGAGCTGTGTGAGGTAGTGTATGTCTGTAATATGTCCTAATAAGAGCTGTGTGATGTAGTGTATGTCTATATTATGTCCTAATAAGAGCTGTGTGAGGTAGTGTATGTCTATATTATGTCCTAATAAGAGCTGTGTGAAGAAGTGTATGTCTGTAATATGTCCTAATAAGAGCTGTGTGAGGTAGTATATGTCTGTAATATGTCCTAATAAGAGCTGTGTGAAGTAGTGTATGTCTATATTATGTCCTAATAAGAGCTGTGTGAAGAAGTGTATGTCTGTAATGTGTCCTAATAAGAGCTGTGTGAGGTAGTGTATGTCTAATATGTCCTAATAAGAGCTGTGTGAGGTAGTGTATGTCTACATTATGTCCTAATAAGAGCTGTATGAGGTAGTTTATGTCTGTAATATGTCCTAATAAGAGCTGTGTGAAGTAGTGTTTGTCTGTAATATGTCCTAATAAGAGCTGTGTGAGGTAGTATATGTCTATAATGTCCTAAGAAGAGCTGTGTGAAGAAGTGTATGTCTATAAAATATCCTAATAAGAGCTGTATTGGGTAGTTTATGTCTATGATATGTCCTAATAAGATATGAGGTTGTGTATGTCTCAAATATTTCCTAATAAGAGCTGTGTGAGGTACTGTATGTCTATATAGTGGGGGTAGAGAGGAACATGCACAACATGGTGACATTTTTTTGGATTTACCACTATTTTAATTATCAACATACCATAAAATACATTGGATCGCTGATCATTCTGGATAGTAGATATAATGGCTATATTTACGTTGGGGTCATGATGACTCCTGGTTTCTATCACCACCACTGTAAAGTTGATAAATTTTTCTACAGTCCATTATCTCAGATTAATCCACTCTGAATGGCTTACAGCGTTACAATAGTTGAATTATGCATAACTGTAAAATGCTTGGAGTTCCCCTTTAATTCTGTTTGGGTAAAGTGTTGGTGAAGATCTAAAATACATTGATCAAAAAGATCAAAAAATACATTGAAATGATTTACTGATTATCCTTCTTGGATGAGGAAAGCTACATGTTAAGACAAAGCTGTCAGGCCCCCCTTATCAGTTGAGGTCATGCGTCTTTGTGAGTTATTGCCCATAACTTGTCCTCCTAATATGATCTGCCCCTTGGGGATGGTTGTCTCATTAGTGGTGATAAATGTGTAATTTGGTGTCTCTTGGAGAAATCAGTCAATCCTAATGAGCTTTAAGAGTCTTGCACCGATTTAATGTGGAGGCAGTGGAAGTTGAGTGTACCTATTGCTTACTATCCAGATAAAGTGTGAAAAGACTTTAGGCTGTGGGGTTTTGGGATCATCATGTTGTCAAGAGTGTGGCATTATTGCTTTGGTGTGTGTCTTCATCATTTTGCTGCTCCAGCCCTTTATCGTTAACTTATGCTTCCAAACTGGCCATGGACAAGTAAAAATGAGTAAGCATTGAGACTTGTCCATCTTTTCTGCCACCTAGTGAGAAGATTTATGGCAGGAAAGCCATGAACTTGTCTGTGATTGGTGCGTGGCCATCAGGGACAGCTTCAGGATTAATGGAGGGGCCTGCTGATGCCCAGTGTGTCCGTCTGCCTGATGCCACCTCACACAATCTGTTCTAAGGTCACGAGGCCACTTAGACCACATCCAGCCCACTGCCTTATGGTCTGTTAGTTAATAATCTGTTTCATATTAGTGTGAATGCGATATAAAGCTTGTTCTTTAATTTTGTTTTTGAGAAATGGGTAAATATATGAAAAGCATGTTGAAAATATAAACATTCTTAAAAAAAATAATAAAAGGGTTCCTTGGACTGATGAAATTCCTCGGACATAAAAGAAATGCAAGAACCTTTCAGTTGACGGTTCTTTAAAGACCTATTTTTGTAAATGAGATTTGTGACCATGAAGAACCTTTTAAAAAGTAGATGTCTACTTAATACAGGGCTGTGCAGAAGTCAGAAACCCCCCTTCATTTATCCAATTTCCAGTGAAAACAGCCATTAAGTACAGGTTATTCATTTTTCAGGAAATGTTTCTAAGGAGGTTAGGTCTGCTTGCATAAAGAAGGGTAAAGTCAAAGGAAAATAAGTAAAAAAAAAAACAAGAGTTTCCAAAAGGATGGATGCTATAACTAAGACAAAGAGCGCACACACTTCTGTTAAATATTTGTTTTCTGGTTTTTTTTTGTTTTTTTTTCCCCCCCGCTGACGCTGAAAAATTAATAACTTGTACTTAATGACCATTTTGACTGAAAATAAAGGAATAAAAGGTGGTCTCTGGCAGTGCTGGACATTTAAAAAAGGGAGTAAAATTCACTTTTCCTTGATTTAAAGAACCTCCACATAAAGTAAAGGTTCTGTACCTATTAAAGGTTTTTCCTTGAACCATGCATGCAAGCCAAGAACCATTCAGGAATCTTTATTTGTGTGAGTCTGGTGTTCACTGATCTTTTGTGAAGAATTCTTTTGAGAAAAAACTTGTCAACCTTCATTCTGCCACTAGGTCATGTATATGTAGGTTGTATAAGGGTTGTTATTTTATTTTATTTTTTTTCTTTTGCACAACATGAAATTTGACCAGTCACTTCCAATATTATCTGATGTGGTGTTGAACATGAAATAACTTCCAGAAGATCCAGTAATTTAGCACAGCTTTCCTCATACCCAGATGTTTAAATAATGCATGTCATCAGCTCTTCTTGACCAAACTATGTAGTCTGAGAAGGAAGGCTCTGTGTATGGATCCCAGCTTGGTTTGTGAACTTGCAGTTAAACTCTATGAGGAGAAGGTCAGGGTGTTGGGCAGCTATACACGTCCAGTCTTTGTCTGACGCTGAAAGCAGGTAATGTTGTGGCTGTCTGCCCAAACTACAGCTTGATGGATGGGCTCCAGTGATGTGAATGCTGGGTTAGTTGGATAGAGAACACCAGAAGGTAGATAAGGAGATAAGGAGAGGCAGAAGACTGTCTGTGAGAATAATGGAGTGCTCCGGTTCTTTTTGAACACTCTGGCTGAGTTGAGTCTGAAAGTCGAGGTCACCACATGGAAAGACTTCAAAGGGGAATTTAGAACATCCTGTAGCTGCAGTCCAGGCTTAACTGAGGACAGTTTGCATTTCGCTTTGGAATTTTGTGATAAAATAACTGGTTGTGTAGTGTTTGTTGGTGATATGCAGTAACATTGTTAGTGCCAGTTACAGTTTCAGTGCATATCTGGAAATGGCTTTGGTTAATTAAAGATCTAAGGTGTCCCAATATGAGATGATTTGGATATTTTATTGTGTTTTATGTGTGTTATGTGCTTATTTTCACTTAGAATCAACAAAATGTCATTTGACCGGGCTGCCCAAACTTTTGCATGTAACTGTATTTGTGTGTAATAGTAAGGTACTATGATCAACCAAAAGCTTTGAAAATTTTTATATTTAGCAGAATTTGCAGTACGTCTGTGTAAGTACTTTCACAGTACTTTAAACTTTGTCAACATAACCTACAAGGAAAAACTTGTATCTACTATTTTTAAGAAAAAACAAACCTCGTATTCAGTGTTTTGTCTCAATTGCCATGTTTTGTTCAGTGTCTATGAGGGTTATAGCAATACACATTTTCACATTTGAAACTATTTTTGATTCTGAGGTCAAAATTCAGTAACACTATTTGGAGTGGTCCTTTGTAGATGATTCATAAACTCTTACGAGATTATCAGTAAGACATCAACATATTATTGAAGTAGCAGCAGTGCAGTATCTGGATACACTGCAGTAAATATCTTGTAGATGTTCTATTGATACACTACTTACATTAAGCAGATGTATTGTTAAAATGTTACTTTCATTACACAAAACCTAACCCTCACCCTGGCCCTAACCCTAACCCTAACCTTAACCTCAACCCAAAACTTTATCCTAACCCTCACCCTCACCGTAATCCTAACCCTGACCTTAATCTCAGCCCAAAACCTAATCATAACCCTTACCCTGGGCCTAATCCAAACCCTAACCTTAACCTCAACCCAAAACCTAATCCTAACCCTCATATGTTTTTGACATCTTAATGAAAGTCTGTTGAATGTTTGTTTCATTTAAAAAGGACCACTCAAAATAAAATGTCACCCAAAATTCTGTTACATTTTTTCATAATAATGTCTTAATTCTACTGAACTTGAATTAAACAGATTGGTTTGGGTCACACAAATAAGAGTTCTGTAGAAATAGAGAAATACAGCTTTCTCAGTGCCTGCTGTGCTGCTCTCTAACAAAATAAACCTCTATAGCTTTAGCCTCCCCTACACCTTTACTCTGAAAGCTCACACCCAAATGTCTAGTTTTCCATGAAGGTTTCCTCGAAAGACAGCAAACTAGAGACCCGTCTGCAAACTAGAGACTCGACATAGAGGCATATCTGAAGTACAGTTTTAAATTACCCTGTTCCAAACCTTTTGGTTATATCACAGTTTTTCAACTTTAACATTCCAGACTGTTTTCTCATTACAATTTCATGTCTTTTCAGTAGTTTTATTCTTTACAGTTCTCATGTTTCTTATATTTTTCTTTTACCTTTTACTTATGGACGGTTGTGTGGGTTTGTGCCAAAAAAGCTATAATTCATATTTTACAGGACCATTTTCCAACCTTTCTTTATTCTTTAGAATTAACCAGACTGTTTGTGATCCTGTGCCTTCAAGGTTAATATATGTCAATGAGCTCTGTTCTGATTGGAGGCCCAGTATTGTGCCCTGTTTTAAAAGCAGTCTTGGCTGAAACACTCCTTATAATGTCAGCATGAATGGTGTGCTGTGTGTTGAATAGGCAGATATATGTAAATGCATTGGTTTTTGTGACAGCATGAAAACTGTGTATTCAGGGTTGGCTGTTTTTACAGGTTAGTTTCCTTAAATGGAATGTGTGCAGGGGGTGTGAAGTCTAGTAAAAGAAAAAATGCATGGAAAGTTTGTTTTTTCCATAATATGGGCCGTTTGTTTTTACTCTCTGTGTTTGTATTTATGCACCAGGAGCTGCCCTCACCCGTACATCACAGTGCTGGAGAATCGTCCTGATTGCTGGCCTGCTCTGTTGCAGGAGATTGATGACTTCATCCAGCTGGCTGCTGACAAGTAAGAGTTCCTCTTCAGTACAGTCTTCAGAAGAGGCCTTGAGCGAGAGATAATATCATCACACACTCACACACTCTCTCACTCTGTCTCCTTCTAAAACCACACTGCTCTCAGATCTTACATCTGTCAAATGAAGAGTTCCTCTTCCTATATAAACCATATGAGGAAATATTTTCTGGCGGTATGTTTTATTTCAAAAGGCAACATGTTTTATTTCAAAATGATTGAATGAGGGTAAAGATGAGAAAATTGTTTGCACGTTTTGTTTTCTGTATGAGAAACGGATGGATAGTGATAAATTCCTAAACTAGTCAATGGCTTGCTAATGAATTTAGCCCTAGAGAAACACTATTTTACTGTTGTCAATATTGCATATAAAAACTCAGAAGATATGTGGAGTTTAACTGGTGGTTTTGAATAACAGATGAATTGGCTGTATTTGGGGTGTAAACATTACCCCTTGTTCCTATCACCACCACTTTAAAAACAAAATCTGAGTACAACACACTACTTAACATTCAAAACATTCTGTATGACTTTGTTTACATCTCAGTCATTGTATTATTATAAAGATCGGTAGAATTACTCTTTAGGCATTTTAGGCATTGTGCAGGCTACAGTTATGTATGTTACATTAATGTATATTAAAGTTAAAAAAAAATTTTCTTCTACCCTCAATTGACCAGTTTGGAGATGATGAAGGGTTTTAAACAGAAAAGGGTTTTAAGCAGAAACAGCCTTTACTCTTCTGAGACCAGTTGTCGGAGCATTACTGTGAGAATTTGATTCCATTCAGCTACAAGAGCATTAGTGAGGTCAGATACTGATGTTGGATGATTAGTTCTGGAATGCCACTTCATCTCATCCCAAAGGTATTGGCTGGAGCTCTGTTTCTCCAGAGAATGTAGTTTCACTGCTCCACAGCCCATTGCCGGGGGCTTTACACCCATTTAGCCAATGCTTAGAATCGGGCACGGTGACCTCATGTGCAGCTGCTCCAGAGCATCCCATTCTGTTGGCAGTGCTTTTCTATGGAGATTATACAAGCTGTTTGTGTCCCCCTGTGTCAGCAATGTTTGCACCTTAAAGTAGCTGAACTCACTAATTAGAAGAAGTCTTTGGATACTTGTGGACATATGATGTATATATGAAAAAGCAGTGGTGTATGCGTTTGAATGTGCTGATTCTTAATGTTTTTTTTTCTCTACATCCTAGAGATGAGCCATTGCATATATCCATGTTGGCTCCATTCCTTCGGTACCTTTACTGCGAGCCCCAGAGGCTGACTGAGAACGCCCTGCTCAGACAAAGCCTGCTCAGCGTCCTGCTCCAGCCCAGAGAGGGTCAGAACTCATCCTGCACTCAGGTCACCCACGAGATACTACGCTGCCTCGTCCAGCTCTTCCCTTATATACTGGTGAGAACAGCAAACATCTCTCATGGGGCAGATATAGACGTCCTAAAGGGTTTTAGCGATTGCTCAGCAACTGCTGAGGAAGCACTGAAGCCAAACCAAGGAAATAATTATCAGCACATTGATTTTCAATAACAATCACTGATTTTTTTTTTCACTGAGGTTTCAGTTAATTGGCCAAACACTTTAAAGAGCCTCCATTGTGGAAAACTGAATTTACTGAGTTTTATATAGCATGTAAACATTGTTAAAGTTTCATCAACATACAGTCACTCCCCAGTCCAAATAGTCTATATATGGAAACTAAGCTGCAAAAACAGAATTCAGGTCAGTTTTTGTGATGTCATGCAATCACATTACATATATCCTGCTTTTCAGCCTGAAGCTGTTTAGCCCTGTGTTTCAGGCCAGACCACTTTTTGAATAAGGCACAGTGTAGGGCGGCCACAGTGTTCCTTTACATGTATCAGTCTCAAAGGCACAGTAACAACAGCTTGTTTAATTCGAAGACAAAAAAGACGTTAGAAAATGGTCATATGAAAATCAATTATGGCTAATTTTAGTGCATAAACCACACAAACTCAGACCTGCCAACCTGTACACATTTTGTGTAGCAGGTATGCATTTTGGCATCAAAGTATGCTGGTATTATATGTCACTCTACACTATACAAAAAGCTATTGACGCCTTTAAGTTCAGTTGTGCATGTGCAGTACTCAAATCTAGTCTCATGTGCAGCAGTGTTTAGCCTTCGGAAAAACAAAAGAAGCAGACGAGTTCAACCAGTCATAGCACTGGGTTCATTCCCAAATATCAAGTGGAGTTGACAAATGCATAATGTCAAACATTTCAAGAGATTTTGTTCTCTTTGTAATCAAACATGCAGTTGGGAAGTACTGATGGTATCCACAATATGCTAAAAAAAAGAATATTGTGATATATTATGACATATTTTATCACAATAACAATAAATATTTTTATATTGCCCAGCACTATTGATATGGCAATTTTTAAAGAAGTAGGAATGGAACTAGTTGGTTGGCTCAAGTTTCACAAGCTTCATCACTCTTGTGCGTCCCCTCTAATGCAGTACTGGCCACCTGTGAATGTTTCACCTCTGTTAACTCCGACCTGTCATGAATGCACGTATTATCACAGTGCTGAAAAGCTTTGCGAAAGCGTCACATTGTAAAACCCTTTATACCTGGTTACTTCATGTGACTAGTATCTGGATTGTATCCTGATAAGATCTTAGCTAGATGCATTTACAGTTGATAGTTCAATGCATCTTCGATTGCTGTGGAGATGGAATATGCAAATCCACTCAATGGAATATGCAAATTGGCAACCAATTACCAATGGTTTAACTGTCCAGCCTCTTCCTGTGCTATGCTAACAACGGTTGCTGTGTCTGTCCATATCGCTATTAAGCATTTTGTTTCGTCCGGTCCCCAGTCATGTGCGTCCTCCATGATTATCTTCCACACAGACATGGATCACATGCCCAGTGACATACTGCAGGGGGTGGAGTTTCAGTTGTACCAGGAGGAGTTTTGGTTGTCGAATGTGTCTTGGAGAGGCAGATGTGTTTACACTGCTATAACGTATATATCTGTTTTAAACATGTCTTGGCTTGCATTTTTATGTGGCTTGGCCTTATCCAGATATTATCTTGATACTCAAAATGAAGTTACCAGGTTTAAATGGGGTCATAGGGGATAACATTTCACCTTTTGACTTGGGAGGTTGGAGTTTAAGTCCCTGTTTGGGCTGTAAAGTTAGTTGGTTGGTAGTTGGTAGTTTGGTTTCTTCTGAAACATGATTACACTGTCCCTCTTATTAAAAGTGGTCAAGCAGTGAGTTAAATTAAGTTTAATCCACATTCTTATTATCCTTTTTTTCCCCCTGAGCCCCCAAAATGTCTGTGCACAGTCCTATTGGATATGTCCAGATACCCATGTGTATACGCTGACATCCTATCTCGTTCCCTATACCATCCATCACTGTCCTGTCACAAACATCCATCTGTATGTTACTCCCCAAGGTTGCTGTTGTTATTGTCTCTGTTGCTGTTATTGTTGATATTATCACCATTATTCAGTCTTACAATTCAGTTGTTATTGTTGATTTGCAATATGTTACATTTAACTCAAGTCATTTAATATAAAACAAAACAAGTTTAAGGTTTAATTTTTTTTTTTACAAAAATAACATTGTTACAAACCAGCTTATAGAAATCCAGCTCCAAGCTTCTAATGAACAAGCTGAGGGTGAGTGTCAGGAAAACTCCCTAAGAGCATGAGGGAATAACACTGAGAGCAACCTTAAGATTCCTCTTAAGAAAAGATGAGTTCTGCTGCTTTTTTTTCAAAATTTCTACATTATTTAGTCATTGAGATGAAGACAAAGTCTTAATGTGAATAGTTTAATTGTAGAAAATCTTATAGACTCTGATTCCTTTACAGTGGTGGTGATAGGAACTGGGGGTCGGAATGTCTACAATGCAAATATAGCAATTTTATTTACTGTCCCAAATGAATCTTCTGAGTTTTTATAAATGATGTTAATAATGATAAAATATTGGTAAATAATGTTTTCTGAGAGTCTATTTTGCCTTCCCAGAACTATTGTAAAACTATTTCTCAGGCCCTTGTCTATATATTTGTAACCATTTCATGTGATAATGGTCTGTAAGGTGGGTTTTAGAGGCATTCAACTCTTTATACCTGGTTCCTGTCATACCAGTTCTGATGCAGTGTTTCTCCGGAATGGAGAATTTCTCTTCAAACCACTCTGAATGACTTTACCATTTAATTATGCAGATTTAAATCAATTGAATAGTTATTTAAATGTAATTACACACAATACAAATGAAATACAACTTAAATATTGATGTAATGAATTACTTTTTTATTAACATTCTGCATTCATAGCTTCAGACTTTTTTCTGTTTGTTTTGATGTGAAAAAACATGGCAAAACTGTAATGCATAGGTTTCTTTTCATGAAACAACAGAACACATACCAGTAACTTTGCATCAAATTCAAATTATAACAATATATCTCCTTGCCCATGTACAAATAAATGTGTTATTAATTGAAAGTTTAGAATCCATACTTTTTAGAACAAAGTGTGAAATTGTTTTTCATGCCGTATACAATATGTGGGGCATAAAGAAAAACTACACTGCATGTATTGCTTGTGGTGAATTTTGTGTCTGTGTTTGTCTCTGGTGTGTAGGTGGACAGTGTTACGGCTGTAGTGGAGTTTAGTTCCTTGGCTGAATCCCTGACCGCTGCTCTGCTCAGGAAGCCGGAGTGCTGGAGGGCTGAGTTAGCTCAGCTAGTGCTGCAGCTGGTGTGTGCCTGTCAGCTCAGTCTGCAGCTGGGAGGAGAGCTCAGGTCCCTCCTGCACACCCTCCACCAGCTCCTACCTGTCTGCAGAGAGGTGAGCGCCGTGTGTGAGTGACTTTGGGTGGGACAGGAACACTGGAAGCTAGGGCTGAAAGATGCAGAGGATTAAAGGTTAAAAATGAATCCAAATAATCTATTCCCAAATGTAGCTAATTATCACTAGCAGTGGAAAGAATGTACATAGAGCAAGAATTAAAGCAATAATTCAGTATTCACTTTGGGGCAGATATACTAAAAGAAGCACTAGTACAGCCTACTAACACTTTGCACTAATGCGGATGGCCAATTCAAAGAATTATCTTCTAAGAAGATCCATGCAAATGAACACAGGTGCACTTCGTAATTAACGTAATTAAGTAATGACCAGCGCAACACTTCTTTGCCAGGTAGGAGAAAAAAATATTTTTTTTATGCTTCTCTGATTTTGGTTCAAATTGTGACTTATTTCAGATCATGACTACTCGAAATTTTGACTTAATAAAGATAAGTTACTTTCAAAGTTCTTACTCGCTGAGAAAGTACTTAATCATTTTGACATAAGAAGTTATTGTAAGAAAATACAATGCTGTTGCACTTAGCGTGTTCATTTTTGGCTGGAGGGATTAACTAAACTTTAGTTCTGTGCCAAGTGCACTGTTGTAACCATTTTTACAAAATTGTAAAACCCTTATTTACTTTCACTCTGCGCAGCCTGGTTGTTTGAGAACTGTGTGATTCAGAGCTTGTAAGTATAGCTGAGCTCTTTGCAGTGCATCAGAGGCTGTGACATTTCAACCACAAAAAGTACGACACATGTGAGGTAGTGAAGTAACAGCCAAAACAGTTTCAGTGCATGCTTTTAATAATCATTTGAAAAAGAAAATTATCACAATTATTTCAGCAAACCCTAGTGTTAAGGCACGGATGAGTGTTTAAAATTATACCCGCAGAATTGGGAAATAACATGGAAATAACAGTTTAAAACATTGTTTTAGTAAAATGATTTTGTTTTGCTTCATCAGCTTAAGAATAAACTGACATTCATGGCTGATGTTCACATTTTTTATTTTTCTCTGTCTCTGATTAGAAACAATATTTGGCACAGGCATCAGTATTTACTATCAGTTTGGGTCTAACGTAAATGTTAAGAAGAGACATTTTGTCCTTTCAACAAAAATCGAACCAACTTGGGAGCCACAACATTTTTTGTCCACTTTACCATCTTAGCTGTAAACATGTCTTAGTGTTTGCTAATGTACTAGTATAGGCAGAAAATGTGATATAAAACAAAAACTCAGACATGCTTTATTCTGCTTTAAGCTTTAGGTCAGCTGCAGCCGCTTTTCTTGCATCTCCGGCAGGAAACTTTTCTGCGGAAGTGGAATAGTTTCTTGTAAAATGTCTGCTGGGGAGCTGTAACAGGGCAGTAAACCCAGTCAAAAACCCAGTTTGGTTCTCAATATTTTCTGTGTTAAAAATGTCCTGATTCTACAGAGCTCTTAATTATTATAAGCTTTCTTAAACAAAGCTTTATCATTGCATATCATACCACAAAAAGCCCCAAAAATCACGACTCCTAGATGTTGTTCGTCACTTTACGTTGGGAGAAAAATATATTTTTAAGTCATTTTAGTGTGATTGCATGCCTATGCCTAGCATAAGGCCTGTTCCCTGTTCAGTAACCTGGAAAACATAAGCCCAAAGTGAGAATTGTCTAATAGGATCCTTTCTGAACTCTCCACCTATTGGACAGTCTTGACTTTGAACCTGAGTTATCTGGCTAACTGAGAAGTCTTGCTTTTTAAATTATCCCCCAGAGCTCTTTGTAGGAGTATTATTAAGCAGGTGCATGGACCTGTGTCAGCTTTCGGGCTTTGAATTCAGTCTGTGTGACGTTAGGCTTTGTAAGAATCACATGCTAATAATTGCATGTTTATTAAATGAAGAATTATTTGTCCAGTCTTTGTTGAACAAACCACAGACAGCACATAAACTGTTTATTTTCCAATAAAAGGGCTCCTTTCTCTTTAAACAAAAGACTTGGTTTATTTGTCTCCCTCAGGCTCGAGGATTTGTTTTTGTTACAGTGAGCGTAATGGAAAAGCCGCGACGGCTTCAAACGGGGGTTAGCTGTGTGATGCTAATCTCTTCAAAGCCTCTCCTCTCATCTCTCTAAAGGCTTGTGGAAGCTTTCACACCAGCCCGGAGCGATTGTCATTCTCCATTCAGCGCCCCCTCAAAGACTCCATCTGCATCTGGCTCTTCTCTGACTCCTCTTTTTTCTCTCCGCAGGATCTCCCGTCTGAGCAAGTGATCATGGGGATCTCTCTGCTCCTCCTCAGAGCCTCCGCCTCGCAGCAGAGCGCCCTCCTGGAGCTCGGTGAAGCCTTTCTCCTCATCTGAACCCTGCTCACTGACATTGATAGCTTTGCTTCCACACAGCATGTTTATGTACTAAGAATAGTCTGTTTTTTCCCTATGTTATTTGATGTTTCCAGAACAAGTTCTCCATTCACCCAAACAGTGCACAATTATCGTTTTGGCCACTTTTCTTTGCATATCATTACAGCCCCTGCCTCAAATTAAATTCTTAGTTATCTTTGGAATGATGGTCTATCAGTCAGTGGTGTATTTCCACAATTCCTGCTAAATTAATTTGTCACATACTGGTGTATTAATGTGTTTACTAAATAAATTTTTGAGGCGTTAGTGTTTCGTAAGATTTGATGTATTTGTGCATTTACGCTTGCTATGTGGTGTTGTGGTCTTTTTTCTCTCATAGCTGTAAAGATTGTCCCGCCTGAGGTGAAGCCTCCCTGGGGTGCCTCGTTGTTAGTGATGCCCCTGCTGCAGGTTCTTTACTGCTCAAACCTCATGGAGGCACTAACAGACCCCCAAACACAGGCAAAGAACCAGGACATGGCTAACTCTCTCCTACAGACTGTCCAGAGGGAACCATCCAGTCCAGTACAGGTACTGTCTGAGATCCAGTGTCATCTCACTGTTGTCATAAGAAAACTCCATTTTTGATGTTTTTCAGTTTTTGACATAATTTGAAAATACCTGTTACCCTTTGTATGTAAATTTCATGATGAATGGACTAAAAGAAATGAAAAACGTCTGGTTGCATTGACTTACATTAAAAGTAAATTAGGTTTATTCCTTCTCCTGTAAAGTTACCATTTTGGAGATACAAAGTTTTCTTCCGACGACTGCTAAATACATATATATATATATATGTATGTATATATGTATATGTATATGTATATATATATATATATAATGTACCTCAGAAACAGATTTATTGGCCAAGTATGTTGACACACACACACCCAGCCATTGGTGTCTATCTAGTATTAAATACAATATACAAACAATGTAGAAGTAATGTACAGACAATATACACTTTACTGTGAATGGATGATGTACAGTACTGTAGGCTGAATGGGTGGTCATATGTTAGTGTGTTCGTGGATGACATCACAACCATGGTAAATTCTAAATGGGGTACATTTTGCAGCTTACTTTCCATAGAGGGGCTGTGAGGACTAGGGCACTGAACTTTATCAAATTAACAGAAAAGCAGCGTTTTGCCATGTTATAGATTTTTATAGTGCAAGCTAGTCTGTCTTATCTTACCTTATCTGTTCAAAGCCTTTATTTAGTCTTGATTATCACTGCCCTTCTCTCTACAGAACACTACGTTGACGCTTCCTCTCAGCACATGGTACAGTGAGCTGCAGGTGGCTACCAGTATATTACATCAAGTCTCTGCAGACCCCATGGCCTCTGTAGAGTGGCTCTACTCCATCCAGTCCACTCTTCCTCTCTGTGAGCGTGTCCAAGACGCCCTTCCTCTCCTGATCACTCACTTCATCATTAGCAGTGAAGGGGACCTTTGCAGGCTGGCACTGGACACTGCAGCAGCTATAGCTGAAGCAGATCCAGCTCAGGTAGGGGCAACATACAGATCTCACTCCCATTTGAAGGAAGTTACTGAGGTTGGCATGTGATTTGAGAGTATGATTGAAGCTGCTATGTGTAAGGAGCTACAAAGGAGCTGTTATGTGTAAAGATGTAAATTAGATTACTAATTTAATATTAGTGGAAAGACCAGTATAGGTGTTGTGGTAATGCAGTACAAAGCATGCAAAAGTTTGGCCTATCTTATGTAATTATAATGCATAAGTTTGGCATCTTATGTAATTATAATGCATAATTACTGTTTATTTACTGAATTTAACATATTGGAGAAAAGATTAAACATAAAATACGGCCTGTGGAAAAGTAATGGCACGTTTGGTATGTTTTTTAGTGGAAAAATATCATATTTAAGTGTTCACTGTAGAGGATATATTAACTTATTTTCGCTTTGAATATCAGTGTGTAATTTGACTTTTGCCAATGACTGTAATGAGAATTTAATTACTTGCACGTTTCATCTGGCTCTAAGAGAATGATGCTTATCCCATTTATCCATTTAAATAAATACATTTCCTCTATAGATTATTCATACATTATTCTGTGTCCTTGTATGTACTTTATATGCATGTGTGTTACATGCGACAGCTGACTGCATGATTTCGATTGTGAATATAAACAGTGCAGTATGAGCGCCTTAAACTCTTAAAGTCTTTCGAAGCAATCATGTTAGTGTGAAACTTGTCCCTGAAACCCTCCTAAACAGGCCCCCTTTTTGATATTTTGAGTTAGTTGTTTATGTGCTACTTTTGGATTTTTCTTTATACTTTCCAGTTGGTACAGATTTGTGTGGGTTTTAGAGAGTATCACTGAAGTAAGGTGATTGATTAGTGAATGAGTAGTGAGATTACTAAAGTAATCCCTGTACAGTTTTAGACAAGTAATTTATAATGATTTGCTTTTTTGAGTAATTACCTCAACACTGTTGATAATATAGGCTGATATTAAGGTCCCAAGGATTCAGCAGTCCCTCTCATAGAATACCGATATTTAGTAGCTTTTTTAATATTGTAAACAACAGACACCTCTGATGTGAGGAGAACCTTTCACTTATGAGGATTTAATTGTTTCCTGGCATATGGTAGACTGCTAAGCTGACAGTCACCAGCTGCTCATTTCTAGCAATACCGTCTTAACTGGGAAATTTGAACGCAGAACACCATCATTGTTAAAATAAGACGATAGATCAAATGCAGCCATAGATAACCTCATGCATGAGAGTAGCATAATACAAAAATATCTTTCCATGAACTCTTTTTGTGTATAAAAAATATGATCGTTGAAAATTGACAACGATATTTGACAATTTACATCAGTCAGCAAAGTACTGTTAAACCAAAACTATTGAAGTGTTTGATTTTGACCATGTTGAATTATATCAGCCAATATTATCAGTTATCTGGATTTTTAACTTGTGTTAATTGGGATCTGTAATGGTCATAACATTTTCTTATTGGTCACTCTAGTGGAAGTAGGTGTGATAATTTGTTTTCTGGGTCTGAAACAGACCCCAATGTTGTCATATTTCATCATTTTACAGCAAAATGATGTGGTGACTGGAAACCATGCAGTATGGTGACTGCTGCAGGATCTGCTACATGTGCAGTCAAACAGAACTGTTACTTGTTAAAGCAGGTGGCATTTGAATTGAAATCATACCCAGAGTCAGTCCCCCCCTTTTTTTCCAGTCTCCCATTCCTTCCCATTATCCATTCAGATGCCAGTGTTGCTAGGCAACATAGTGGCTGCTGAGGAATGGGAGCAGTGTGCAGTAAGAGTAGATGGAGAGGTATCATGGCATTGGCATTGGGACCTGCAGTCTCAGCTCATAAGTCGTTAAAAAATTCTTTCTTGGTCACTTATTTACTTAGCTACTGGACAGCATCATGAAGAGTGATGAATTCATAGCAAACTGAATTAGGTGAATTTGATTTGTCCATGAAGCAATACAAGATGGTCATTTTAAATGTGAAATGCTCCACTATAGTACTTTAACAATGCTTCAGTGCTAGAGCTGTTTTCCATGCACATCCTTTTACCGTTTTAATGTTTAGCTCTGCTGAATGAAACATTGGGAGGATTTTAGGAGAGTGGAAAATCATGGGCGAAACCTACCGCTTCACTCTGATGTGGTAGAGCATTCATTTATATCATTTAAAGCCAGTGATACATTTGTGGTGTGAAAGAAAACGCACACTAGACTGATTTTAGCAACACACTGAATAGTCATTTGGGTTGACTTTAGCACCATGCAATTTAGATGTGGGTTAGTTGCTATTATGGGATCTAATGTGCAAAGAAACTAACCAGAGGATTCATATCCATTTTCATACAGAGCTGTTCTTTATGCATAGAATACTAGCATTATGATTTTTTTGCTACATATTGTGATTACAGTGACCGCAGTATATTAAACACAAGGTGATGCAAATATGTGAAGTAGGCTAATGTAAAGATTGGTCTTCATTATTTGGACCAAAATAATTAACCTTTGTTGGATTACATACCTTGATTGCATTACAGATTCTTTTTAATTAGATGACTCAAAAGCTCTGGAGTGATTGAAAGTATTGTGTAATTGAAAAGGCCTACATTAAATATGGTCGTACGCAAAAATATTAGCACCTCATAAAATGCGGCCTGTGCAAAGCAAAAGTTATGGTGCACTTGTATTATGTTTTTAATTTTTTCAATATGTTAAGCTCAGCAAATAAATAGAAATAATGCATTACATCTTACTTAAATGTACCATCTTTAAGTGTGTTTTCTCTCAACAAAACATGTAATTAGACCAGGGATGTTCAAACACTTGCATGGTGTAATATGCTCACAGAGCACAGAAAAACACTGTAATTGGTTAAACAGATCATTTGCATATTGTAGCTTTCTGTGATAGGTCAAGGTTGTGACAGTGATTAGCAAACAATAAATTGTACAGCCGTGTTATGGTACGACATTTAGGGCCCGATGTTCTAAGCTTGCAGCAGTGCCAGATACAAATCGGACACATTCTGCCCGTGTGTTATGCATGAAACTGCTGCACAAGCCTAAACACACAGTTTGTGGGCTGCTTACATGGAAAAACAAAGAAAGCGCTTCACTCCTTTGTGCATGTGCATTTGAGAGAGAATTGCGCAACCATATCAGTACATGAAAGGACACTGCGCAATATCGTGCCGTGACGAGGCTGCAAAACGCGTTCGCAATCTGTGTTATTGTTTTGCAAAGTCTGTTTTTTTATCTAGAGTAGAATGACACCCCTGTATAATTTTTTGTTAGGTGCACAAAGTATTTCTTCATCACTGAGCTTTCATTTTCTCTTTGTGCCACACAAGCATGCACTTAGTTCGTGATCCTGAGCACAATGTGTGGTTTTCTGCACATTATTAATAGATCAAACATTAATTTCAGGTGCATTGTGAGCACATGTTGTGGTGGCATTAAAGACATTTTGCCGTGCATCCGGTCCTCAGTATTTCTGCTTTGAAAGCAACAACAGCAAGCCTTAAGGTATTTTTAGATGGAAGATAATTAAAAGAAAAGAACATTTTCATCCTAGAATTTTTCCACAGTTCTATATTCTGTGACCCTTTTCTCTTCTGTCTGTCCAGCACTGTGCACTTCTCCTTCCATTGACCTAGCTGTCCTCATCAAGCCTGCTAATTGGCTGGAGGATGGGGTCAGAGGTCGAGCCAGTCTCAGGGGGCTGGGTTGCCCCTTTGGGCCCCCACAGTGAGAGGCGTGTAGTGGGACGCTGCAGGGTTAATCCTCAATTCAGGGGTTAGAACATCCAGCCCTGCTTCTCCACCAGGGGTTAGAATACCTCACAGCAGAGGGAGGCACTGCTCTGATGTCTTCTGCTCTTCGGGGTCAGGCCGGGTGGGCACTGATTGCTGAACAGTTTTTCAGAGCTCGCTCCTAGATTGGGACTTAATGAGTTGACAAGCCCACTGTCTGTCCAGCGAGGAAGCCACCGTAACGTGAAGGCTTCCGCACTGCATTGTCTGTGTCTAATAAGATGTGACTGGCAGTCTTTCACGTTTGAGGCTTTTCTTTTGATTGGTATTCAGGCTGTGTGAACACAACGTTGTTTCAAATAGATGAACTTATATTGTCTTTTACTTAGGAATGGGCCATGAAACTGTTTGTGCCTCATGGATAACTTCGTTTACACAAGTATTGTTTGAGTAGCCCAACAGAAGAAAAGAATATATATACAACCCCAATTCCAAAAAAGTTGGGACGCAGTGTAAAATGTAAATAAATGTCCTTTACATGCCTTATTCAAGCGCCAGTCAATAAATACTAGGATATGTTCAGATGTCTTTATATTTGGAAACACTACATGCATCCCTCATTATATTACAGGTATGTGTAGACTGTAATACTAAATAGAGTCGTATAGGTTCGTACAATGTTATTTTGTGTTGCAGGTTATTTTTTGTGCCTCTCCCCCTTTTTGTTGTCTTGAAACATCTGTAAAAACACACCGTTCAGTTTTGGCTGCTGCTTAAGCAGAGAATAGTGTTCTTTTATCCTGCGTTTGGCAGGTACCAGAGCCTCGCTGTATTTTGACACCCGTTTGGCTCCCTGAACATTTCCAGTTCAGCCTTCAGGCTCAACACATCACTGTTTTCTCAGGACTTTAAAGCCAGGGAAACATCGGCCACCTGCCAACACCGTAGCACGATAAAAGCCGCTGGAGCGCCGTTTAAGACACGACGGCTTCTTGAGCGAGACGGAGGGAGAGCGGTGGGGGAGGGGGTGTGGTTTGAGCTGCTGGAGGCACTTCAAAGCTGAGGGTCCGTGGACACTCCCTCTCTGCGTGGTGTTCTCCAAACGCAGCACGGGAGATAGATAGGTTGAGACAGTGTGGCTGGGTTTAGCAGCTGTAGAAACGATGAGGGGCAGAAGAAGAAGAGCTCTCACTCTTCCACACAGTCCACTCAGAGTCAGAACTCTCTCACTCTACCACACAGTCCACTCAGAGTCAGAACTCTCTCACTCTTCCACACAGTCCACTCAGGTCAGAACTCTCTCACTCACAGTCACTCACAGTCAAACTCTCCACCACAGTCCACTCACAGTCAGAGCTCTCTCACTCTTCCACACAGTCCACTCACAGTCAGAGCTCTCTCACTCTTCCACACAGTCCACTCACAGTCAGAGCTCTCTCACTCTTCCACACAGTCCACTCACAGTCAGAGCTCTCTCACTCTTCCACACAGTCCACTCACAGTCAGAACTCTCTCACTCTTCCACACAGTCCACTCACAGTCAGAGCTCTCTCACTCTTCCGTACAGTCCACTCACAGTCAGAGCTCTCTCACTCTACCACACAGTCCACTCACAGTCAGAGCTCTCTCACTCTACCACACAGTCAGAGCTCTCTCACTCTTCCATATTATTTTCTGCCTTTCTTTCTTCTTTCTTTCTTTCTGATTTTCTTTCTTAATTTCTTCCTTCTTTCTCCTTTTATATTTTTCACCATTTTTCTTTCTTTCTTTCTTTTTTCTTTCTTCTCATTTCTTTCTTTCTCTGTATTTCTCATTTCTTTTTTCTGTTATTCATTCAATTTATTCTTTCTTGTGCTCTCTTTTTCCGTTTTTCTTTGTCTGTTATTTCTTTCTATTTGTCCTTCTAATTTCTTTCTTTTTTCTTTCGTTCACGCTCCCTTTCTTTGTTTTTTCTTTCTTTTTACTTTCATTCTTTTTTTTCTTTCTCTTCTGTCTTTCTTCTCATTTCTTTTTTGTGCTTCTTTTTTGTGCTTCTTATTTATTCTTTTTTTATTTCTTTTTTTCTGTCATCCATTCGTCTCTCTCTCTCTCTCTCTCTCTCTCTCTCACTCTCTCTCTCTCCCTCTCTCTCAGGTTCCCTGTCTTCTCCCGGTGCTGATGTTTAAACTGGGCCGAGTGTCGGACTCCACTCTGTCTCATGCTGTGCTCTCCACTTTACCAAAGCTGGGAACACACAAGGTACCTCTTTACAAAGTACACAGTGATCTAAAATCCTGCTTTTGTTTCAAATATTTCTAATAAAACATATGATGTGATGTGTGTGTGTGTGTGTATATATATATATATATATATATATATATATAGAGGAGAAAGGTATATTTAAGACTTCTCACTAGGTTTACACACTGAAGCCCTTTAAAAAAAAAATTACATAAATTCCAGGCGTCAGTGCTGAAGCTCGTACTCTGACCTGCACGCTGTTGTTCAGCGTTTGCCACAGTAATAGAAATATCTGGCGTCTGCTGGGTTTGGGCCATAATTATGCTTCCCTTGTTGTTATGGCAACAGCTCACCTGGCACTGCACACAGCCGTAAAACAGTCAGTAGTGCTCGCTGCCGGTGTTATTCATTGGTGTCTCCAGCAATGCACATTATTCATAGCTGCCCTATACACACATGCGTGTGGAGGAGAGAGATGCTGACATTTTGCTTACTGTTTGAATAATGCTACATCAACAAAATGTATTCCTGGAACATGCATAAAAACGAGACTCTACACATGCTACCTGGCAGTAGCTTTTGTTTGGGGTTTTGTTGCAGAGCACTATATTTATTATCAGTGTTTGAAAGGCCATTTTTCTTTTTTTCCAGTATTTCTTTATCTGTTTTAGTCATCTGGTCTATGTAAACAATGCTGCGCTGTTGGAGGAGAATTAGAGCCGAATTTGGTTGTGGGTTAAGAGCGCAGGACAATGGCTCCATTCCTTCCTCTCTAACGAGATTATGTTGTTAAATTCTTTAAACAAAAGCTAATACTAGACCACTTACCCAGTAGTTCAGCTCTCTGATAGAAAGACTTCAATGCCCCCATGCATCCGAGTCTTTTCAGTGGAGGGCTTTTAGGGGAATTACACCGTTCAGGATTGCTCTGGATGGGCCCTCAGACTTTCCTCATTATGATGAAGGTCGTCTTTGTTCTCTTAGTTTTGTATACCGCAGGTTTTACATGTTCTCCAGACGCTGGCCAGCTCCCCCAAGCTGAGGGCTGTGGCTCTGCGTCTTCTTACCGAACTGTGGCAAAAACAGGTATTGTATAAAAACAGGTACTTTTATCATTACATTTTGTATACTAGGGCTGTAATGATTCAACACATTTTTCGATACAGGAGAAATAAGGAATGTCTGATGTGCCTCCATTAAAGGGCCCATATCGCTTCCAAACCCTAATTTTCCTCACTTTTTTGAAATAAGAGATTGATGTAGTGTGTAAACACGGTTAAATTTTCCAAAAAGGTCACTCCACAGTCCATAGAGTCTACATATGGAAACTAAGCTGCGAAAGTTTTGAATTCAGCCTGTTTTGAATTCACTGTTTTTGTGATGTCATGAAAACCAACATATTTACATACATCCACCTATTAAGCTTATAGTAGTTTAGTTACCACTTATTTATGTTGAAGTTCTAAGAAGTATTTCAGCCCAGACTGTTTTTTTTAATGAGGTACAATACGTGGTAGCCAATCAGAGAAGAGGTCATTTACATATCAGTATTAAAGAAACACTAACAAAAATAGAGTGTAAAGAGAGTTTAGAAAATGGTCATGTAAAAATAAATGATGACTACACATGTTATAAGTGGATAAATAAAGAAATAAAGTGAAAAGAAAAATTTGGGATATGGGCCCTTTATGTTTCCATTTTCAGTTTGTTAGAGCATTCAGCATTATGGCAGTACAATAACACACAAGCTAACACACAAGCCACAAGATAACATGCTAGTCATGTTGTAATATAATACAATTCAACATATTGTATTGTTGCATCCTTATTATGTACTGATGGTTTTGGACTGTAATTATAATCTTGGGGGTGCATAATATATAATGGCCATGAATGGGATTTTGGAGCATTTCTATTGGGCCACTCATCATGAAATTTTCACAAAATGTAGAGGACAGTAGCCAGTGTTCAAATGGCATGTAAAAATAATGAGGGTCAAATATGGATATGCATGTTTGTTTGTTTTTTTTTGGACAGCAATGATATTGAACAGTAAAATTACTGATTATCAGTATCAGCATGCTGTTAATTTTCAGTTACATTACTGACTCAGGAATTCAAAATTGCTGCATCTATATTATTATAGAGCACATTTTTAAGTAACTGTTGTGTCAATAATAAAAAAAAATCCATATTGCAAATCCTAACAGCCCTAAATATATGTATGTAATCCATCTCATCTATTGATGTTAAGTGAGTGAGAGTGTATTGACTGACATGTCTCTGCAGGACCGTGTGTATCCAGACTTGCAGAAGCTGATGGCCGTGTTGGAGAAGTCCTCAGTGGTGGTGGGGAAGGAGACTCAGTGGGAGCAGATCCTGGCCAGGGCTGCCTGTGTTCGGGACATCTGCAAAGAGAGGTCCTTTATTAATTCTCATTAAAAAGACACTACGGTCACTTTTCATTTGTCTGTTTTAACCCCCTCTAGTCTTTAATTTCAAACTACACCAGCTGGTTCAGCTCCCCCAGTTAGGTAAGGGATGACATTGTTTCATATACTCATATAGTGTCTTTGTAGTGGATCACATAAACACATATTGGACTCATTGATATTATGGGGTTTTGTAGCACTGGCCTGAATAATTTCAGCACTTGAGGATTTGTTCCTTATGTTTCCATTAGATTCTGTTGAGTATTCAGAAGCTTTGTCATTTTTTTCAAGCTGCAAAAATTGCAACCTAAACTACAACACATTCCATCCTCAGAGGTGTTTAGATTATTGTTAGATTTTTGTTAATATAGCGAAAGTGTTGAGTGCAGTACAACAGTTTAATGAAGAAGTAAAGCCAAGTTCAATTATAAACATGATATTAACTCCCAAATCTTTCCAATTTGTTGAGCACACAGAAATAACCCAGTCGTAAATTACATTTCGGACTGAGTTCTGCATGCTTAACCCATAAAAATGTTGTGCATTATTTTCAAAAATATCCCGAAACATGTGGCCAGCGCCTTATACTGTACACTAGATTTGAGATTTCAGATCATAAACAGCTCTGGGACCGATCAGGACAAGCTTCTGACAAAACAAGGCCTGACAGAGGTCAACCCCTCTGGCGACTTTTTTTTGTCCTTGTGACATCAATCATGTGAAGAATACCACTTTTTAGCAGAGAAAGCAAATTATAGTACATAGATATTATGAATAAAAAGCAGTTATTACTTGAGTAAACACTAACAGAGCTGCTTTTACCATTATAAATGTTTTCTACATATTTATATGATTTTATTTTTCCATCTTTGAAAAATAATCCAATTGGCTGTTTATAATAACCGTCACACTTCAATGTGCATGTGCACGAGGATAAGTCACAGCTTGAGTACCTAAACCTGGGTTAACAGAGCAAGTTGCTAACTGCCTCTGTTAAACTGGTTAGCTACCTTTCAATTTGTTAGGTTTTGTGAAGCTGAAACTCAGTCAGGAACCCTATCTGTGTTAAACTTTTTTCAGGAGACGAACCCCAGTTGGAGAGTGTTATTGTTTGGTTCTCAGTTGTCATTGTGTTTTTCCTAACCACTTACATTAGAACTAATCACCTCCTATTCTCTATTCAGCATCCACCTGTGATTATTGGCTCAGTGTGATTGGTGGAATACCTGAGAGAAACTGAAGGAGCATAAATCGGGGAGGGGGGGGCGTACAACAAATGAATCTGAATTAATGATGAAAGGCTTGCATGTTCAGCTTTCAGCTACTGTATAGTGTATATAAATGACATGCAGCCTTCTTCGTTAAGATTATCTGACCTGCCATTGAAGACCACCCTGCATATGTCTACGTACAGTGCTTTGCCAATATACTCATCCCATCTTTTAATAGAATTTAGACATATTTTTCAAGAAACACTATATGGACAAAAGTATTGGGACAACTACACATTACAACTACAGGAGCTTTTATGACATCCATAGACATTAACTTGGAGTTGGTCCCCTGTTTGCAGCTAAAACTGCTTCCTCTCTTCTGGGAAGTTTTCTACAAGATTTTGGAGTGTGTCTGTGGGAATCTTTGTCCATTCATCCAGAAGAGCATTTGTGAGGTCAGACACTGATGTTGGATGAGAGGGTCTGGCTCTCAATCTCTGTTCTAGTTCATCCCAAAGGTGTTTGATGGGGTTGAGATGAGGGCTCTGTGAGGGCCAGTCAAGTTTTTCCACACCAAACTCACCCAGCCATGCCTTTATGGACCTTGCTTTGTGCACTGGGGCTCAGTCATGCTGGAACAGAAAAACAGAAAAGGGCCTTCCCCAAACTGTTCCCACAAAGTTGGAAGCATACAGTTGTCCAAAATGTCTTGGTCTGCTGAAGCATAAAGATTGCCCTTCACTGGGACTAAGGGGTCTAGGCCAACCCCTGATAAACAACCCCATAGCAATCCCTCCTTCACCAAACTTTACAGTTGGCACAATGCAGTCAGGCAGGTAATGTTCTCCTGGCATTCACCAGACCCAGACTCATCTATCAGACTGCCAGATAGAGAAATGTGATTCGTCCCTCCACAGAACACGTTTCCACTGCTCCAGTATGGTCCAGTGACGGCGTGCTTTACACAACTCCCCCCAACAATTGGCATTGTGCATTTTGATCTTAGGCTTGTGTGTAGCTCAGCCATGGAAACCCATTTTGGAGAGCACCTAATGTGCAGTGCTTTTGCTGATGTTGCTTCCAGAAGCAATTTGGAACTGTTTAGCACTCGGCGGCCCCACTCTGTGAGTTTGTGTGGTCTGTCATTTCGTGCCTGAGCTGTTGTTGCTCCAAGATGCTTCCATTTCACAACAATAGCGCTTACAGTTGACAGGGGCAGATCTAGCAGGACAGAAATTTCACAAACTGACTTGTGGCACAGGTGACATCCTATGACAGTGCCATGTTTAAGGTCACTGAGCTCATCAGTACGACCTATTCTGCTGCCAGTGTTTGTCTGAGACTTCATGGCTATGTGCTTAATTTTATCCAGATTTGCAGCCGGTGGTTAGATGGCATTTGTAGATTGAGATTTTCGTATAATGCCACATTAATGTCAAACAAATTTATATAAGCATCATTTGGAATCTGTTGATGACTTTACACGGGTTGAAAATTGTTGTAAGGTGTGTGTGTGTGTGTGTGTGTGTGTGTGTGTGTGTGTATAAATCTGTGTGCATGTTTATGTCTTGTCTCCAGCTTTATTGAAGTACTGTTGCAATCATTTATGCTTGCTGCATGCATTCACTCTATAAAAGATGATCAGTGTTCCAATAAAGGAAGCAGCAGACTGTAAATGTTAGCCAGGTAGAACCCTTTTAAGTGAAGACATATGGCAGCATTTAGTATTAAACTGTCTAATAGTATTTAGTATTAAACAACTGTCATCTTCATTCCAATCACTGTGATAGTATTTGACCCTAAAATAAGTTGTATTTTTCATACTATAGGGTTTTATTCTAGCATTTATACCCTGTCCTGGATCACCGTTTCTTTTGTTGGAATTCTATATTCACTTATAAAATGGTCGCACTTTGGCCCAATATTGGTTGCGTCCTAATGTTTTAAATCCAGCTGTGGAACACAGTGTGGTCTTTTCTAAATGAACGGAAGCCTTTTGTGCATGAATTTTATTCATAAACCTGCTGGCTTGCAGCTGACGGCATAACTCAAAGTGCACCCTTCCTTTGAAATGTTGGCTGCGGAATTTGTAATTTTTTCATGCGACATATGACAGCAGGAACTGTCAAAAGCTTCTGAAGGTAAATGTGCTTCAGACAAAGAAATGCTTTTGTGTGTGCAAAAATTCAAAAGCTCTGTAGCTGTAGGCCCCTGGTATTTAGAATTACCGCTAATGAGGTGGTAGGTGTGTCGCCTCAAAAGTGAACCAGGAGGCACATAATTTATGGCAGTGTACAGATTCCTTTTCGAAGTCTTTCTGTCTTAGAGGACCTCAACACTGTTTAGTTTGGTGTTTTTGAATAAAACAAATCTCAATACCAAAACAGGTTGGAACATCATATGACATGCAAATAAAAGCACTGAAGACCAGATAAATAATACTTACCTGATCAACTTCATTGTTTTTTACACGTGTCTAAAATGGATACCTGAAACCAAAAAAAAGTTACAAAAAAATGTTTAAGACTGGAAATGTTCAACAATGGGAAATATTAATGTTAAACAAACTAAATAAATAAATAAATGTTCTGAACAGTGATGCAGTCTTGCTTGGGTATAAAAGGAGCATCCATGAAAGGTCTAGTCCTTTGAGAGCAAGGCCACCCAACAGTTTAAGAACAACGTTCTTCAACAGGGTTGCATAGGTTTGAGATTTTCATGGTATGATTGCTGTCTGCGACTTTTCTGGGCTGTTTGAAACGGACTGAATCACATGGAAACATGTATTGTGGTCAGGGGAGTCAGCTTCTCAGATTATGTATGGAAGTATTGGACATAGTTTTGTCCAGTCCAAGGAAAATAAAGATCATCCAGATTGTTACCAGTGTAAAGTTCAAAACTTGGTAATGATATGGGGATGTGTTATTAGCATGGGTTACTTGCACATCTGTGAAGGCATCATTAACACTGAAATATATTTGGAGCAACATATGCTGCCTTCTAGATGACGTCTTTTTCAGAGCGTAGCTGTGTAATGAGTGAGTGCGTTTGCTAAACTGGCCTGCCTGCAGTCCAGACCTGTCTTCCATTGGAAATGTGTGCTGCGTTCTTAGGCTGAAATATATAACAACAAAAGTCCCTGTGTGGCTGCGCAGCTGAAGACAACTATAACAGTAGAATGACATTTTTTTTTATTTCATTTGAAAACACCAGCTGTCTTTTACATTTTACAACATTCCTCGTGAAGAATAGACTGATAGAAATGGTTCCCAATCTTATTACCTTAATGTGGATTCACCTTAAGAACATTCTTTCTTTCTCCTGTAAAGGTTCCATTTTGGAGGTACAAAATTTTGTTACAGCAGTAACAATATTCAGGCTTTTCTTACATGATGTTCTTTCTGTTCCACTAGGCCCTACCAGCATGGAGGAGACATGTTGGCAGCCATTACAGACATGCTGACTCAGTGCTCACGGAAGGATCAGGCCACTCCAGCAGCGTTGGCCCTGCAGGGCCTTCAGGAACTGTGCAAAGCAGAGGTCTGAAACAGAGCTTTGTGGTTTGGGAAGAGGTTTGCTGCATGGGGCCAGTTGTGATCACAGGATGCGGTCCATTTTAAATTTACAAAGTAACCCTTAGCATCAAGTTAGGCAGTCATTTACTGGAACAAATGTGTAGTACTTTGTTCAGGAAAGTCTAAAAAATTTTGTTTAAAAAGCTAACTGCAATGCTGAGATCATATATAATGTGATTTAAAATACTCCTAAATGTTAAGTAAACAGTACATTTATGGACATACTGTATCCTTAAAGGAATTTTCCAATGTTTTCTAACCTAATCTCTCTCTACTGCATCTGTAGCAAACCGTGGATTGCCATGGGCAGTAATTTAAGTGCATCCCTCTGTACTTAGAAAAGACAAGAAAACCTGTTGACTTGAAACTTGCTTATAATAGAAGCCAATGGGAAGTTGCTGAATTTTATGAATAAACATATAAAATGACTATTCAACATAAATTCTTAGCTTCAGTACACTATCATTAGACTCTAACAATACAGGTCTTAGAATGAGACAGATGCGTGTTAATGTTTTATTAGAGCTGTTTTTCATCCAGATTCAAAACACTGGAGCCACACAGTAAAAATGTAATTAAGGGTCCAAGCACCAAAGGCAAGCTGTAAGTCTTACAGACATAAAACTTGGGCCTCCCACTACTCAGGCACATGGAATGAGCCTAATTTTTCAGCATTTTAATTAAGTATATCTTCAACATACTTTCACTTGATGACTTGAAACTGGATTTAAATAATCCAATTTAGTGAGCTTAATAACTTTGCAATTACAAGTGTTTTCATAAACTGTTTTGTATTCATTCTGTTGTTAATTGTTGGAAATCAATTTATTTCATTTCTAAGTTAGTCTTATAGGTTAAAAATTATTTAAAAATTGTAAACCTTTTGCCCACCATAGTCGCTACATACTAGTTTATCATTGCCTTTTTTGCAGGTCCAAATTAAATTGCTAAAACTCAAAAATGTGTTTTATTGTCTCAAAATGTAAACTACAACACCAAAAATCTGACCCAGAGTGGCCTTTAGGGGGTGCTACATCGCACAATAAAACTTGTAATAGTTTTTATAAAATCTTTTCCTACAGTTTAATAACAGATCTTATGTGATGACACGTTATGTCAGCAATTACATCGCTTCTGTGGCATTTTGACTTATTTGCTCAAGACTTTAAATGAATAAATCAAAGTAAATGTCAATTTGTACATAACTTGAAAAATATCTTCATTTAAGGCCCCTGATCAATAATCCTGGCATATGAAGGACTTCTGATAAGCTCTTTATCTTTATTGATACTTTATTGAACTGATTTTGCTTGGACCCCTTCTAGTTACTTTCACTTTCCTTTTTTTTATATGGTTTACAGATTAAATTTAAATTTACATTTGACAGAAGAATTCATGTTTATGTCCAGTCTTCATGTTCTACAAACATGTTTCACAAACTTGTTTACTAACTGGATTTAAGGGGAATTCAATCAATTTTACATTTCTTGATAATTCAGTCATTCAGAGAGGTTTGATGTGAAATCGTTCAGTGTAGAGAAGCTACTATCCAAAACGACTAGCAAACCTACATGTGACTGATGAGTTTTTATATGTAATGTTGATAATGATAATGATGTTTTTTTTTTGTTTGTTTTTTTTTAAAAAAGATGTTTTCTTTGAGGACTATTTTGGCTTAAAACACTATGCATGTATCTCTCTGCCATTAATAGATATTAAACAATAAGTTTTAGGCCAAAACCTTACCTCAGTCATAAAATCAAATAACATCTTATAAATCAGGCTGCATATTTGGAACCATTTCACATAATAACTGTCTGTGAGGTAGCCCTTAGCAGCATTAAATGCTTTGGATTTCTAGTTTCTGTCACCACCACTGTGAACAGTTCTGAGTTGGTAAGTTTACAATGCACTGTTTTACATCAGACCACTCTGAATGACTGTTTATATTGTAACAACTTAATTATGCAGAAATTTTGAACACCTATCAAACTAATTGTCCTTTGTAAGCAATTGTACACAATTTAACTGTTTTGTTCTTTTGCTGCTTCAGGTAGTTGATATTGGCTCCACATGGAAGGCTCTTTCTCCCAAGCTGAGCTGTGAGACTAGACCTTTGGTGTTAAAGGCTACTGCTGAACTTCTCTCTCTAGTGCCCTCACTGCATGTCAGGACAGAGGAGTATGAGGTAGACCTACAGGCTTTTTGTCCACCCCTACAGTGTATAATATCTGTGTGATTACCATATGAAGTTTCATGGACTGAGGAATGCAAGCTGACTTTTGCCTCATTTTTGTTTCTTTTCACAGAATTTCAAAAGTGAAGTGGTTAGTATTTTGTGGAGTCATGCTCTGAGTCAGGTTGGTATAAGTGTCCTAAAACAACCGCACTGTCTACAAAACAGGCTTTTGTTTCGATTTGAATATCTGTAAACAAATTAATCTGTGTTTGCTACTTTAAGCTTAGAGTTAGCATTGGCCCTTTTTACTTGCTTGCTCAGCTACCTCACTCTCAATTTATTGGTGATAAAATAGAAAGCCTTGAATAATTGGTTCAATCAAAATTATGTAATATTGTCGCTGTTGTGCAAAAACCTTGTAACTCTATTTTTGTCTTGCTTCACTTTTTTTTTGCATAATTTGAAAGCTCCAGTTAGCTTTTACATTGTGTTTGTATTTCATGAAGAACAGATCAACAGAAATGGTCCAAAATGACTTAAAATGACTGGAAAAGTCTCCTGGGAAAGACTCCCAGTAAAAGAGACTTTTATTGTAAATAGTTGTTATTGAGTGGACATTAATAGTGCAACATGCTGGGAGGGTGTGCTGTAGATGTGTGCATGTGTCTATTCTCCCCATGTGTCATGCCCAAACTGAAGAGTTTGGATGTTTAGTTAGTGTTAGTGGTTTGACATGTTAAACCTTCAGTTTCTTTTCATGTGAATGTCCATTTTCAGGATCATAATGGTGGAACCTCACTTCCACCATTTTACGTATTTCTTATTGTTGTCATTCTCTATTAAGACATTATTAAAGTAACACTGAGTGATGGAAGCTTGCAGTTTTGTAGTTTTTACTTTTTTTACTTTTTTTTCCAGGAAGCAGAGGTGGCTAGCAGTGGATACAGAGCACTGTCTGAATTTCCAGAATCATCTCACTCCATCCTGCACTTACCTGAGCAAGTATGAACCTACTCATAGATTTTATGCTTTAAGGCTTTAAGGCAGCTTATGTTGGCAGTAGTGATTTCAAGAAGCTTGCAATGTATAAATGAGCATCTAACCAGTCCAGTAAATGTTTTATTGAGTATGGATATAACAGTACAGCATTTCATAATATATCATTAGATTAGTTTGCTATGTGTTAGTTTGAGGCTATTCTTTTAGCTTGGGGCTAACATATTAGCTTGTGACTGGAGTGTTAGATTGGAACGCTATACAGTACAGCGTTTGTTTCAGTTGTACTTTCATAATGTTGAATGCTGTAATAAACTGAAATTAGGATGGTTATATGTTACCTTGTATACTTAATTTTTTTGTATTGAACATTCCTCAAAATAAGACACCACTGTGTCGCATTGAATTGTGAGCATCCTGACCAACATCAGATGCACCGGGTGAGTGTTACTGATGTTTCGGTAAATCATAGTCACACTCACAAGATACTACAAACAAATACCTTTAGTATTTCGTCCATATATTGCAGACCTGACAAAGCTTTATCGCATGACCTACATGAAGAGTATTCCACTAAAACTTAAATCCTGTTAAGTCCAGTTAAATTAAATATTTTGCTTTCAAAGGGAACATAAGTGGACAAGTAAATGAGGACAATGGTAAGCGCTGTACAGAATGGATGAGCACTCGGGTAGATCTTTCATTTGGGTTTTGTTTTTTTTTAATTTGTTCTCAGAACTGGATCTTGTCAGTAGGTTAATTTGAAGTGACAGATGAGACGTCGATTTTGAACTTAAAATGGAAAGAAAAATGCACAGCTCTCTGTCCATCTGTTTTTCACACTTCTGTTTCTTTAACAAACCATTTTGTTGCTTCTCTATTTAGAACAAAACTAGTAAATAAAAAAAAGAATCTTTAAAAATTTGTGAAATGATTACGTCCCAACCTGATATCTTGCTTTGTACTTTCTGTTCTGTTGATATACATTCAGCTAAATCACTTACATACGTTTCATGTGATTGGATAAACTGTAGCACAGGACTGCTACGGAAGCTGCACTGTTCATGTTCATGTATGTTGCTGAAATACAACTATGTTTTTACATGGGTTAATCGCTTGTTTCAGTTCACTGAAATACTTTGCTGGCTTCATGTCTGGACGTCTGGACCACTGTCCGCCAGTTGACGACCCCTGATCTACATGATCGTCTTCAGCATTGTCCTTTCTGTTTGTGCTGTCATTCTCACAGGCCAGACCAGAGATGGATGAGCCGGATGATCAGGATGAAGAGGAGAAAGAGAATAAGAAGGATGAAGATCTAACCGTGCCGGGGACTTCATACATAAAACTTGTTGGTCTCACACCACAGCCAGTTTTAACAGGTATAATCTTCTTCAACTTTGAAGTCCAGTTTGGTTGGCTCATTAATAAAATATGCTGCTGCTCCCAATATCATGATTTAATGACAATATTGAACATAACAAAGCCTTAAAGAATATTCATTCTACATTTAAAACAAATTTACAGCAGATGAAAATGCATACAAGCACTGATGTGCACTTTATACTGATGTGCACTATATGAACCTTTATTAAAAATTCCAAAAAGGCTTCTTTGGAGTAACACCACAGAAGAACCACCTCTAAATCCATAAAGAACCTTTCAGTTAATAACTCTTTGTAAATGAAAGTAAGGAGCTCGTTTTTTAAAGAACCTCCTCATAATCTGAAATTTATTTTTAAGGCACATTTGAAATGTCAGCCTAAATAATTAAACATGGTTTTTCTCTGTTGCAGGGCTTTAGTGAAAGGATTTACTTTAAAATCTCTCTTTATGACTTGTTAGTGTTATTGATGCTCAAAATCTGCCAAGAACTCAAACAGATGTTCTCCCACCACAGAAGCCTGAGGGGGAAAAATCCCAGATAACATTTTAGACTTGTGTCTTTAAGTGGTGAATAAAACTTATGGGAGTGTACGTGGGAGCTCAAGGAGCTGCTGTGCCTTTCACTGAAACAACAATAGACCACCAGCTCAACTTGCATAGTTGAAATGAAATACCACTACACAGTTGATGTGACTAAATGGGAAAGTTAGCATTTGCCTCTGAGAATGAGCTTAACGTCTTATCTAGGGCTTTGTTTGAATCTTCATCTGAATGTTACACAGCCCGTCAGCTATTTCTTTAACTCCAGCAGTGTTTAAAGAGGTGATCTTGGTATCCCCCTGTGGTGTTTCTTTCTTTTCTGATCTCTACTCAGGTAAAAGTGCTTTATTCTCCACAAAAGCACATAGCACCTTTAAGTCTTTACACATAAGAACTCTTATATTCTCCCCTGCTCGACTCGGTATCACCTACCCCACACAGATGAAATGATGAAAGTAGGCTTTGAAAAGGGCAAAAAATAAATGCTTGACTTAAATGAAAAGAAATACCCCCACCATGAATTGTGGTGCCTGGAATTTTTAATCGTGCTATCAAAACATCATTTGGCTCATGAATAAACCTTTGAACTTGAAGTGATCAAAGGTCCATGTAATTGAGGAAATGGAGATGTTCAGGTTACTTATTAGTCATAATTACTTTCATTTGTTACTAATAAATATGCCCTCTTTAAAAGGCAGTATTAATCCAGACAACATCTGTAAATTAAGATTATATAACGTGGTGCTGTCATAGGATGCCACCTTTGCCACAAGTCAGTATGAAAAATTTCTGCCCTGCTAGATCTCCTTGGTTAACTGTAATTGTGATTACTTTGGAAATTTGATATTTGGAAGCATCTATGAGCAGCAACAAGTGGTAGACCAAGCAAACTTAAAGAGTGGCTGGCGAGTACTGAAGCACATGTCTTATGAAAACGGGCTGTCCTCTGTAGCATTACTCACTGCAGAGTATCCAACTGCCTCTGGCAGCAACACTAGCACAAGAACTGTGCACTGGGAGCTTAATGAAATGGTGTTCCATGGCCGAACAGCTGAACACAAGCCTGAGGTCACTATGCACAATGCCAAGCGTTGGCTGGGGTGATGTAAAGCATGCTGCCACGGGATTCTGGAGCAGTGGAAATGTGTTCTCTGGAGTGATGAATCAAGCTGGCAGTCTTATGGATGTATCTGGGTTTGGCGGATGCCATGAGAACACTACTTAGTGCACAGTGCCAATAGTAAGGCTTGGTGGTCTCTGCTGTTTTCAGGGTTTGGGCTCAGGCCCTTAGTTTCAGTGAAGGGTAATGTTAATGCTACAGCATACAAAGACATTTTAGACAAGCATATGTTTCCAACTTTGTGGCAACAGTTTGAGGAAGGACTTTTTCTGTTCCAGCATGACTGCACCCCTGTGCACAAAGCAAGCTCCATAAAGACATGGTTTGACGAGTTTTGTGTAAACACCTTTGGGATGAAGTAAAACGTTGATTGTGAGCCAGGCCTTCTCGTCCAACATCAGTGCCTGACCTCACAAATGCTCGATTGATTGAATGGGCACAAATTCCTACAGACACTCCCAGTAGAGTGGAGGCCGTTATTGCCGGAATGGGGTGCCAACTCCATATTAATGCCCGTGTTTTAGTAATTGGATGTCCATCAAGCTCTTATAGGTGTAATGGTCAGGTGTCCATATAGTTCTGACTATGGAGTGTATTAAGGAAGGGCTGTTTTTCTTTTTTGATATATTTTAGTAGTGCTCTTTACACATAGACTGAAAGGTTTTGAGAAGGAGGGAAAGTTTTTTCATTTTTAAATTATGACCTAAACCTCACAGCACAGATTTATAAAGGGCTGCACGATAAATCATATTTTTATTGTCATTATGATATGATAAATAGACATATCACAAAGGCCCACAATAAAAAAAAAGAGAAACGACCAGACTTTTCACACTATAGACTTGTGCACATGGACGGATGATGTAATTTGAGTAGAGTCTCAGAGAACAACTGAACAGCTAAGGCATCTTTAACACTTTGAACCCATGAATCCATTTTGAAGGTATTTTGTTTTCCATCTTGGCAGTTTCAGGAAAGGCATAGTGACAGAAATGAAACAAAAACAAATCTCAGTCAGTAGTAACAGTGACTTCTGTTTGTCCAGGTACATGATACTGATGTCTAAGTCTTTGAAATTCTACATGGAAAGAACAGTTGTAGGTGTTTTTATGTTCTTTTATGCACTGTGGAGTTTTGAGATGACTGGCTGCTATAAACCTCAAAGAGAGGGAAGATGCTTGATTTGCATTGATTTTCAAGTAAGGCCCAATAAATGTCGCTGTAGTGTTTGGCAACTTTAATTAAAAATTAAATTTAATTAAGTTTTAAAGTGAAGATTTTTTTCCTAATAAGACATAGCTTGTTAACTTCCTGTAGAAGAGTTTGGAAGCTGCTAAACACCCACATGATGCATACATGACAATACCTAAACAAACCTCAACTAACTGGCAGCCTCGTCCACTATGTTCAGCTCTCAAATCTCAAGCCAGAAAAAGGGCTATGCTGGTCTTCTTGGCCAGAAAAAAAGGCCCAGACCTTTAATTTATAATTAATAATGGCAGTTTAAATCACAGTCACAATAGTGGTCTGCAAAAACTTCAATTATATGTTTTCTCCAGTGAGATATTTTCAGCCCTACAGCCATTTGGCAGATGATTTTTTTTGTGTGTGTGCCAATTTTTATTTTACTAGATTTTTCACACTGTATGAGCTAAATGAACACTGGAAAACAAACTACCACATTTCCAGTGCTTTCTATTAGCCAAACTCGCGACATAAACATAAAGTATTATTTCTTCTTTAATGGGCCAAACTGGCAAAAGTAAGAGGCAACTGGCTGTTAATGGATAATCATACTGCAATGTTGTGGTGCAGGTGTAGCAGCTGCATTCAAATATACTGTGAGGGCATAGCTGCCACACATTATTTGCCTCTTTGTATCGCAACACAGATCTGCCAAAATAAATCAATAATAAATCAACCAACTGCCAATCACGTAATTAAAGCAAAAGCTGCCGATTGAGATGCCGATTCCAATCGTACATCCCAGATTTGAACTTCATTTCAATTCAAAATTTAATTTAAAACTTATATTTAATTTAAAAACTTCAGTTCAGTTTTTAGTCCTGCTGGATTGGTGCTTTTCACTCTGAACTAAACTTGTTTACACTAATTAATGGTATAAAGTATAGAACATGTTTAATATTTGCTAAACCTGTGTTTAAAGTTGAACAAAAGCACAATATTTCAGTAAATAGCACAGCAGTCCACTCTAAACAAACTACAGTCATCTGTGCTTCCCTATGTGTGAGAAGAGACTTGATATGAGTCTAGAGAGGTCAGCGTTTTCAGCCTTGTCAGTTTGTGATTCCTCTGGACAAAGTGTTCACTCACCCCATCACAGGTGGTTTCTGCTGGCTTTAATCCTAAATGTCTCAGGGTGAGCTTAGAGTTCAGCGTCTGACAGCACACGTTAGAACAAGTTTTCATCAGTGTGTCAAGGAGACACAAAAGATTGTATGTCCATACACAGAGAAGTCACATGCAGTGAGAATAAAATTTTGTTGAAGGACTTAGATCTCAGCTTTTTTGTAATAAGAATTTGATGTAGCATTTAAACATATAGTCCATATATGGAAACTAAGCTGAAAAAACATCCAATTTTGAATTCACTGTAGTTGTGATGTCATAACCATGATTACATTTACATATGACCACCCAGCTGTTCAGCATTTTTCACTGATTTGGTTCTATTTCAACCCTAAACCCACCATCTACAGCACTTGAGACCTTCCTGACAGCCCTTGTAAGACAAGAGATGACCCAAATGCCCCGTGGAGTGTACCATTCAGCCCTGAGAGGGGCGAACCTGCGTTCAGACCAAGGAAAAACTGTTGCTGGAATCCCTGCATTTATGCTGAAAACTTACGAAAAGAACAAGCAGCCAGGACTGAAACCTGGTCTAGCAGGTAAAGACACAGCTTCTCAGTGACACTGATATCATCACTGTCAAAAAAAAGGATGTATGTTTATTTTTGACTTTTTGTTTTTTATTATTGTTGATTTTTTTTTTCTACATTTGAGCGTGACAGCTGTCATTTATATTGTGTGACAATTTCATGATACCAGGGCCAGTGCTACAAAATAATTTGGAAGAAAACCATTTTAACTTATGTTTTCGCCTTCCGTAAAGTTACTTGCAAATTATTTGCAAAAACATGATTTTCTATGGACAGCAATGATATCATAGTTATTAATTATTAATTTGCCTCTGGTTTGTACAAAAAGGACACATTAAATAGAAGTTGAGATTGAACAGATTTTGTATGTGTAAAAGATATGTCTGTACTTTTCAGTGTTGGCTTTAATGTATTTCCTTACTGTATTGTGTATTACCAATGAAAGGATTGATCAACTACAGATCTAATCTGCCAATTTCTGTAGTAAATATTATACATTATGATAATATTTTTGAACCATCATTTTAAAAAAAAAATTTGATGCAAATAAAAAATGGTATTTGCAGTGCTTAAAAAGGAAAAAAAATGATTGTGTGTTTTAGAGGAACCAAAAGACATCATTTTAAAACCAAACAACAAATTGCAGCTAAATGTTAGCTGTCTTATAATATGCAAATTCTAATTTTTTTCCGTTACATTATGTTACATATATTGTGGTGTAGAAAATTATTTAAATATTGTTCACTTTTAGATCTTTGAATCTGAAATCTTTAAATTTGCTTATGCACTCATTTTACCACACATAAATGAATGACATGCCCTAACAGTTGTAATGACCTGTTTGTTTCAGCTGGTCTGCTGCTATGTTATGACCTCCCTGTCCAGACAGACAGAGATGGACGACCAATTAGCCGCTTCATGGTCAGCAGAAGTCGGAGTTTCCAACAGACGTTAACCAGTCTCATCCATGAGGTAGAATACCTGTTGTTTCACTAAAGGTTAAAATCAGGGACAGTTAAAACCATAGTGTATGTGGAATTACCAATCCTATCTTCACTCCATTTTCTCCTTATACTGAAAAACTTGCAGTATTCACAGTGTGTAAGTTATCATTACAAATTACAGTTTTATTATCATATCTTTCAGTCAACCTTGCCAACTCCTTCAGGCTAAACAACCATTCGGGTCGTATTAGCTTTACATTGGGATGTGGAGTAATGTTATTTTAGCACAGGATGTCTGCAGTGTTCATGACTGTTTCGCACAGGAAAAATGACAGCAGTAGGAATGGCTACTCGATTTACACATTGTCATCACACTAAAAAGGTTCTATACTCAATTCTTTCAGCTGCTCACAAGTAAAAAAACATCCAAACATTATTTAATTGTAACTTGCTTTACCGTGGCCAGCTGTCGCAAGAAGGAATTCCATTGATTTTGCTAAGCTGATGCATAATTGTGGCTGAGATGTAAACAAAGTCATTCAGACTGGTCTGATATGAAATGATGGTGATCCAGGGGTTGCAATGTCTACAACGCAGATATATCCATTGTATTTACTATAGCCATTTTAGGTACTGTTTGTCTCATAACATCCTATATGTACCTCTTCACCATTAATGTATTTTAAAAACATGTTCAGGCAAAACTATACCAAAACTAAAATTACATAACGTCTCAGGCATCAGGCAGCATATCCATAGCCATTTCGTGTAATATCTTTCTGAAAGGAAGCATTAAAAAGCTTCAGAAATGTGGTTCCTATTACCACCACTGTAAATAATTGTGACTCAGCAAGGTTCTCTCAAATGGAGAATTGCACATCAAAGCACTCTTAAAGACTTAAATCTTAACCATTTAATTAAGCTGAATTTTTGATAGAGTGAAATTCCCCTTTAAGTGAATGCAGTGTGTTATTAGTGTTACAGTTACTTTACAGAATTTACAGCCAACAACTGCAAAAAAAACTTTTTTTTGTAAACAATGGAACAATATATATGGGCTTTATTTGCATTGAAACTGTAGCAAAATCACTGAGAAACACCAGTAATAGCTACATTGCCCTCATCCATATAAAACTAATTTCACCCAAATAGTGCTTATGAACTGAAGATCTGACTAAAACAGTATTTAAGAACTTTTTTTCAACAATAGGTCTTTGTGCATTTTTTCTTGCACAAAGAAGGGGAAAACAGTCTTGTTTTCTACATCTGAAGTTAAAAAAGCACTTTTTAGTAAGTTTTTTTTCCTGAGACACTTCATGAATCCAGACCTAGATGCAGACAGTTTTAGGCCCATCTCTTGGTTCTGCCTGTTGAAGTCTGTAATAGAAAATTTTCAGTGGCATGTTACCTCTTCATTCGTGTCTTTCTCTTGCTCTTTCTCTAAGGTGAATATCCAGCCTTCAGAGTGGCATCGCTCCCTCCTCCTTCCTCAGGCCTGGCGTGGCTTCATGAGTCGCGCATACCATGCTGTCCTGCAGGTATGTGTATTTTAGTGCGTGTAAGATGACACGTCAACCCCCATTTGTGTTTTGTTTGGATCCTCTGAGTGCATCTCTCAGCAGTCTGTCAATCACTTCTCACTCACACTACCATGCCAACTGCACCTTCAAAGAACCAAACACAACTGAAAGCTCCATATGTACACCCATCAAATTGCAGTTAATTACCACTCAGTGCCATCAGGAAAAAGGAAAGCTTTCAGTACACCAGTACAAACATGAAAGGGTGACAGTGCTGCAAAATGACTGAAACACTGTTTGGCTACATTCATGTAGACATGGCAGCCCACTGTAGAGGTATAAATTTAGTTTATTCATGTGTTTATTGAAGTAATTGATTAGTATGTAAGTAGTAGCCTTAGGGTGTGTATTTAGCAGGCATCTTAGAGCAAGTAATCAGTCATAAGTGCTTGAGGGCTCCTAAGCTCTTACAAGTGCTGGTATCTTGTTTTTAAAACCCATCTACAGCTGCTCTAGCTAACAGCTTTCCAGCATCTACTCATTTGTTTACTCACTAGATAAGCAGAAAGAGGATTCCAGAGACTGATTCGTAGATTGTGTGACACCCATTCCATACATGTTAATTGTGGCTTTAAGCAATAGCTCAGCAAACAATATCTAAAACCTGTTTTCCCCCTCACCCCAAACGTAGTCAGTCAGCCAAAAGATCATGTGTGTTTGTGATTTGCCTCTTTAGTATTGTCCTGGAGCTAGAAGACTAATGTAGTTAACAAGAAATGGAAGCATGGGGAATTCGCAATATGCAAACTGCATGCATAAATCATCACACGGCTCAAACTGCATTTAGTTGTTAAGTAATCTCAAGCAGAATAATACTTTCTGTCACTGTATGACATTCTGATGATAGAAATACTGTATGTAACATAACTAAAAACACAGTAGCAGCTGGAATCTTGGAATCCTGTTTTTATAAAGCAACATTAACCTCATAGCTCTAGTGTTGTGGTCTTTCAGGGTCGAAAGGCTGAGCTGGAGATGTTGCAGAAGCAGGGGAAAGAGAGTCCAGAAGAGCTTCAGTATAAACAGCACTGCGCCTGGCTCTGGTGAGCATGTGATCATGCAAAACACACACACAGGCGCACACACACACACACACACACACACACACACACACACACACACACACACACACAAATTCCTCTGTTGCAAGTAGGGATACACCTATATGCCAATATTTTTCAAATACATGTCTGCCAATGCCGATGCTGATCACTACCACGTTTCACTATCTGTCAGTGTGATGGATGAGTCCGGGTTTGGCAGATGCCAGGAGAACGCTATCTACCAGAATGCATAGTGCCAACAGTAAAGTTTGGTGGAGGAGGGATAATGTCCAGGGGCTGTTTTTAAGGGCATGGGCTTGGTCCCTTAGTTCCAGTAAAGGGTAATGTTAATGCTACAGCATACCAAGTTATTTTAGACAGTTATATGCTTCCAACTTGTAGCAACACTTTGGGGAAGGCCCTTTCCTGTTCCAGCATGACTGTGCCCTTGTGCACAAGACATGGTTTGATTAGTTTGATGTGGAGGTACTCCAGTGGCCTGCACAGGACTCTGAACCCCACTGAAAACTTTTAGGATGAACTGGAACAATTTTGAGCAACATCAGTGCCTGACCTCACAAATTGACTGAATTACCACAAGTGTACTCCAAAATCCTGTGGAAAGCCTTCCCAGAAGAGTGGAGGCTGTTATAGCTGCAAAGGGGGGGCAATTCTGTGTAAGTACCCTTAGTTGAAATGTCCAACAAGCTCTTATTGATGTGATGGTCAGGTGTCCACATACTTTTGGTCATAGTGGTCATAGTGTATTCAGGGATATATCTTTACCTGAACATAGTTCATCATCACTCATTACTAGGGCCCAACCAATATGAAAATTTTGTGGCAGAAACTCACAGTATTAAGTAAAAGCAATATTGTAGCACTATGAGATGTGGCTTATCATGAGTTCACTATTTTTGTTCACTAAATTAGTTTATAGTGTTGTAATGTGCTGTTATCATTATAAATTTTACGTGTTTTTGATACTATCCATGATGGTTTTGTGTTCACATTTACCAGTTCAACATGCATTACCTCATATTGAGTCCCCTAGTGGTTCTGCGCTGTTGTTAGGAGATTGCAAGTTTGAATCCAGATGAATTAGCACAAGAAGTTGCTAATTATCAGTGTGTTACCTGCATTGTTTCAAGTGATTGACTGATGTATCAGTCTCATAACCTACATATTAGTTTTATAGTAGTTACTAAATCATTTATAATAGTTTTTAATTAATAAACCTTAAAATTAAGAACTAAATTCTAAGTGTAAGGGCATAAATAGACACCATTTCTCTAGGGCTGCACAATATATGTGGTGTTAATTGCTATCATGATACTGTTCTTTGCAATACTAATATTGCAGAAGGCCTTAATATGCAAATGCTTTGCATCTCAGATGAGTATCTCTGGGTGTTTTGATCAGTTAAGGCGTTTACATGATCCAACAAATGTATATAATGCAGGCTATTCTTTAAGCGTGTCACGTTATGAGTTCACCATTGTCTTTAAATATATTTAAGATATTTGTCCATATTGCACAGGCCTGCCATTCCCATAGCCATGCAGTCTGCTGCACACATCATAACTCGCACCCCAGGACTCCGTTTTGACAGCCTGTCAGCCAGTGAGTGAGTGAAATGGTGTGAAGTTCAGATGGTACCAGGAACTCAGTCCCCCTCGGCATTCTGGGTTCTGTAGTGTTCCAAGCACTTCATAGTATAAAGCACTGCATTTATGCCCCTCCTGGGGATGTGTAGCCATCCTCGTGCTGTCAGGTGCCCTGGAGCACAGCGGGGATATGCGAGGTGGTATGAGAGCACTGAGGCCTGAGGGGTCACTGACTTCACCCCAAAAGACAGAGATGTCAGGTGAGGGATGGCTTAGGCTGGAGAGCACTGGAACAGAGTAAAGCAAGAGATTGCGTGTGTGCTGCATGTGGATGAGTGTGTTTCTGTGTGTGTATGTGTGTGTGTGTGTGTGTTACCTTGACTCTTAAATCATTGCCTGTAGGGATGAAAGGTTTTTTCCATGTGTCTGCAGGCTGTGGTAAATCAACTCTCCTTTGCTCTCTCTCTTTTCAGGGTCAGAGACCAGCTGACTGATGTGGTGAAGGCTGCAGCCAAGTGAGTTACTGAGCCTACTGCTGTCCCTCCCCCCTCTCTCCATACCCCTTTTTTTTCTCTCAGTTTTCTTCTCATCACTTTTACTCTTCGTTTTGTTCTTAATCTCTTGCCTACTGTCCTCCTTATTATAATTCTTTTTATTCTTACCAGAACAATGAAGGGGAAGTCCAAAAATTCTGTTTGGTGAATTATTGAGATGTAAACAAAGACATTCATTTTTTCTGGTCATTATGTTACCAGTGGTGGTAATATAAACCAGACATCTGAAGAGTTTAATGCCTCTAAAAGCTACGCCTCTTTTTCAAAATTTATTCATGCTGGAGGGAAACCTGCAGCTTCTCCAAAAAAATCTTTTTCTCTCTCTTTTTTTTATAAATTTATCTCAACATTACATAAAAGACACATGTAGGTTCACTGGTCATTTTGCATAAAAAAATGTGTTGTGACCCCTGATTGTTCTTATCACCCCACTGTAAAGAAATTGGTAAGTTTTTCTACAATAAACCGTTTCACAGTAAATCACTCTAAATGTCTTTGTTTACATGTCAACCACTGAATTTTGAAGGAATATTTGCAGAAGGTTTGACAAATCCCCTTTACGTTTTGATGTCTGGTACCTCAGATTCGCATGATGCCTACTTACTGGCCTAATTATTTGTTTATTTATTTGTTTGTTTTGATCACCTTTAATCACCTTTAACTGTATGGATGCACAATTGCCAGTGTAATTTAACTTAAACTTTATTTTTTTTTAGTAGATGTTTTAAAAGTTGACAGGGAGCACTTTGGTTTTGTGAAATTTAAATTTTGCAATATATTGTTGTTTCAGTATTGCAATATACACCGATCAGGCATAACATTATGACCACCTCCTTGTTTCTATGCTTATTGTCAGTTTTATCAGCTCCACTTAGAACGTAGTTCTACAATTACAGACTGTAGTCCATCTGTTTCTCTGCATATTTTGTTAGCCCCCTTTTACCCTGTTCTTCAGTGATCAGGACCCCCATGGACCCTCACAGAGCGGTACTGTTTGGGTGGTGGGTCATTCTCAGCACTGCAGTAACACTGACGTGGTGGTGGTGGTGTGTTAGTGTGTGTTGTGCTGGTACGAGTGGATCAGACACAGCAGTGCTGCTGGAGTTTTTAAACACTGTGTCCACTCATTGTCCACTCTATTAGACACTCCTACCTTGTCAGTCCACCTTGTAGATGTAAAGTCAGAGACGATAGCTCATCTGCTGCTGCACAGTTTTTGTTGGTCATTCTCTAGTCCTTCATCAGTGGTCACAGGACGCTGCCCACAGGACGCTGTTGGCTGGATATTTTTGGTTGGTGGACTATTCTCAGTGCAGCAGTGACACTGAGGTGTTTAAAAACTCCAGCAGCACTGCTGTGTCTGATCCACTAGTTTCTGAACTTATGGTAATGCGTGAGATCTCATGATGAAATCTGTGTGGTTGCAGAGACAGTCCGGTGGTGCAGGGGAACTGTATCCTGGCTCTGAGCGGCCTGGCTGTTGTACTTAGCCGCTATGAAAGCAGCCTGCCAGCTCAAAGTGACGGAGCAGTTGAGGTGAGAAGTCTTCTTACTCTCATTATACATGCCTTTTTTATATTCTAAATATTAAACAGGCTTTTCCTTACCTGAAAACCTATGCAGCATCAGAAAAGCACAAAAATTTCAGTTTTATATGATTGATTAAACATTTGTTTTTTTTCCTGAAAAAAAAATCTACATTGTTGAGAAAATGGTGTTGCTTCTTGATCATGATAGACCATTTTGTATCTAAAGGTGGGCCCTGAGATTATACCTAGTGTCCACTGGCTGTCTATTGTGATTGATACGCTCCTTAGCATTGTGAGCAGCAGCAGTCGACCCAAAGGACAGGTCTTCCCCTGGTTCATTCATGTGAGTAGTTCTCCAGACCTCTGTGTTAATGCGAACTTCAGCAACCACTCATCACCTACTGTACTCATACTTTACTGAGTTTCAGCTCTGTATCTGAATCTTTTCCAAAAAGTTAGAAGGTGCTGTGTTGGCACTTCTCCTGTTTGCTGGTGACAGTACTGAGAAGCAAAGGAATTCTGCAAAAGCACTTTTTCTGTCTCTGTTTTTTGTTATAGATAAAGTCCACTGATTTTTCAGATTTACTGCGTAATTCAATCATTAAGATGGACACAAAGTCATTCAGAGTGGGTTTGATATGAAATGCTGTGTTCCAGAGAAACTTTCAGTCAGAACTGTTCACAGTGGCGGTGATAGGAACTAGACCTGCATTGTAATTTGGTTCAGTAAATGGTAGGAAAAATGTTCCAAACTCTACAGAGCTGAATCAGAAAATATTTAAACTCTCCCATAGTTTAGTGCTAGTTCCCATTGAGTAAACATTGTGCTGTTATAATAAAAAAAGATTTCACATTTGATTATTGTGTACAGATAGCCTAAAAGGTAATCCATAAACAATGTTCAAGCGGTCTATATTTTATTACTGGTTTGTTACAGTCCTGTTACAATGTAATACAATAGTGGTAACATTGTGCTCATGTGTAACTGCTGGCTCCTCTTGGTCTGTCTGCAGCGCTCCTATTCAGGAGAGAACACGGCCAGTGGTATAGCTCGCTCTTGCGCTGCGCTGGGCCTGGCCCTACTGGTGCCCGTCCTAGTCACTTCACACAGAGACGCAGTGCCGACCATACTGTCCACTCTGAGCGCAGGGCTGCCCGGAGCACCCACTGCTGATGAGTCTCAGGCACTGCAGTTTCACAGCGGCCTTGCCCTGGGCATGCTCTTGGCCTGGATGAATGACGAGAGAGTCAGGTAGGTGGCTTGTTATTAAACAGCTACTATTGATATGGGATTGAGCTTTGCCTGTGCTGACATCTGTACAGGGAGATAAAAAGAAATTACTAACTTGTTTTGTTCGTGTTGCATATGTGTGTGCTGGTTGTCATCTGCAGTGACATCGGTGGGACATCCATGTGGGAGCTGGTGCTGAACTCTCTGGAGCCTCTGGAGGCATGCTGCTTTAGCACCCAGCTGGAGTACAAGTGCGTCTTAAAAAAATTTCACTGCTTTTTGAGTCTTTTTATGTTTTATGTAGGTTCTTAACGACGAGCTCAGAGACTTCGAATGTAACGCTGTCACAGGATGCTTTTTTTGACAAGTCAATTTGTGAAACTTCTACCCTGCTAGAGGTGCCCTGGACACCTGTAAGTGCTGTTATCGTGAAGTAGAAACTTCTAAAAGCAGCAACAGCTGCGAAGAAATAGGCCACCCAAGCTCACAGACAGGACTACAAAGTGCTAAGGCACATAGCATTTAGAAATCTTACGTCTTTGGTTGTTCCTTGGGAACTTTGTGGAGAAAGTTTCCAAGGCTGAGCAGCCACACACAAGCCAAGTGTGCAGTGCTTAATTTTAGCCATGACTTTCCAGTCGTAGACAAGTGTGCACCCATGACAATTGCTCGCATAGTGTGAATGGTTTCATATCACAGTTTTCTGCAAGCTGTCACAGGTGCCCCAATATTTTTGAGCATGTTTAATCTTGTTATGTGAACCTCTCTACGACAATAGTAGGAGCAGCAATGAGCAGCAGCCAATGAGAGTGTGAGAAAATTCTCCAGAAGTGAGGCACGATAAACCCAGACACACAACAAACATAGCAAAAGGGGTTAATGAAGAAAAAAAATATATATGAGGCTGCTGGTCACTGCCACTATGGCTGGCTTAGGAGAAAGCCATGATGAAGGCTCTTCTCTGTGCTGGCAATGGCCATTCACGTTTATTATGGATGCACGAAGTGGGGGAGAGGCTGTTGGGCCTGTTTGAAAATTATACAAATATATTTTTTGTTTTCTTTTTTTCTGCACAAATAAGTGCAGAAACAACAACTAGAAAACGTGCAGGAAACATGTTTTCTAAACTGATGAATCAAGCTTCATCATCTGATGGTCTGGTGAATCAACCTGTCTTTTGCAGCTACTGGGAAAACGCTACCTGCTCAAATGTACAATGCAATCTGTAGAATCTGGAGGAGGAGGAATAATGTTCTGGGGTGTTTTTTATGATTTGGTCCTCTTAGTTTCAGTGAAGGGAAATCTTAATGTTACAACATACAGTGACATTCTAGATTGTGTGCTTCCAATTGTGTCAACAGTTTAGAGAAGGCCGGACAAGTCCTCCGTGCTTAAAGTGAGATAAAGAATTGAACTGTAGTTGTTGTGGAAGAACTAGTCTGCACAGAGCCCTGACCCCAACCTCACCCAGCAGCGTTGAACTAAATTGGAATGCCGACTGAGAGCCAGGCCTTATTGCCAACTATCAGTGCCCAGTTTCACTAATGCTGAACGGAAGAGAATACCACAAAATCTAGTGGAAAGTCTTCCCAGAAGAGTGGAGTCTGCTATAGCAGCAGAAAAAGGGTCAACACCATATTCATGCACATGGTTTTGAAATGAAATGTTCAGCAAACATGCATGGATGCGAATTTCAAGTGTCCGCATACTTTTGACCATGTAGTGCATTATTCAGGAACTGATGTAAATTATTCAGCAAGTACTATGAAATGAACGTTACATTGAAGAATTGAAATACCAGCTGTAACTCTGAGTGTGAACATTGGACATCCCCCTCTCTCTCTCTCTCTCTCTCTCTCTCTCTCTCTCTCTCTCTCTCTCTCTCTCTCTCTCTCTCTTTCTCTCTCTCTCTCTCTCTCTCTGTCTCTCAGTGCTGGGTGCGTGTTGGCTGTTGGGCTGGTGCTCAGCTCCCTCTGCAGCAGTAGCGAGGCTGAGCAGCGAGTGCGTGCGGCTCTCTCTCTGGACAGGCTGCTCCAGAGCCTGCAGGACAGCAGCAGCAATGGCCTCGGACGCATGCAGCAAGAGGTCACATGCACAGCCTAAACCTGCCCAAACCAGCTAGCACTGCTTATAACCAACACAGTTACCCACTGTACTGGTGAAGTTACTACTTCAACAAATGCTTTAGTAATCAGATAAATCAACCCCTTCAAACCTATATTTAGTCTTTTCTTTATTACTTTTGAGTTACTTTTTATGCTAAAACTTAGCTCAAAACTATCATAAAACTGTCTTAAACATCAGGCTTTGGACATCTGGTTCCTATCACCACCAAGTTTCTGTAGAACAGAGCATTTCACATCAGATCACTCTGAATGACTTTCCAGCTTTTTGAAATTTTGAAGAATTGGTGTAATAATAATAACTACATTACGCAGGTGATCTTTTTATACTTACACTGGTGGTAATCTTTTTCTTTGTGATAATGCAGGTTCTGACATACTCAGTGGCGTGTGTAGGAGTGTCTGCATTTAGTTCTGGTGTTATTGATGCCAGTAAAGCTGAAGAGATCATGAACGTCCTGCGCTCCGTGACTGAGGAGAGCCAACAGGTGAGGACAGAGGGGCATGTGTCGGCCCTGTGGAGCTCGCTCATCAAACTTTCTGAAAACAAAAGTAGGAAGATTTAGCCAAATTTTTCTTGTTTAGAAAATGTTTGAATGTATTGTAATGGGGTGCACCAGGGTTTGCTGGATGATTGTGCACTTGTGTTGTGTTGTTATGACACTTCTGATGATGTGTTGCCTGTCAAAAGTCTAGAGACACTACTGAGTAACTACTGGTTTAATTAGAAGAAAACAGTAACACACATGTAAATATTTGATGGTTTTAATTTGGAAACAATGTCAAATTCCAGACATTTTTATCTTCTTTTCATGGTGTCACTTATTAGCTCTGAAGTCAAGCCAAATGTGGCCTAACATATTTTTCATATATGCCATTACCCATAAAAAGAGTAAAATCATTATTTAGATAAAACCAGCTGTTTATAGCAAGGCAGATACTTTGATGAACATGAAGCTGAGTGTAGCAAAAATAAACCCAATGTATTAACAAATAGCTGTTAATGTAAACAAAACAAAGTATTTTTACAGGTATTTACAAGTATTTTTCTTTAGGGCCCATATCATGGAACATTGAATTGCCTTTAACTCTTTGAAATAAGAGTTTGAGGTAGTGTGGCCACACTGCTAAAATTTCAAAACATACTGTTCACTCCACAGTCCATACATGGAAATTAAGCTGCAAATACAGCCTGTTTTTAATTCATACATTCATCAACACATACATTCACTTATTTGGCCTAAAGCAATTTAGCCCCGCCCATTCACACTGAAGTTATAAGGAGTGTTGAAGCCCACACTGCTTTTCTAAAGAGGCACAATACAGGGTAGCCAATCAGGACAGAGCTTAAATACATATATAATTCTTGAAGGCACAGTAACAAAAACAGCCTGTTTAATTCTAAGTGATAAAGAGAAGTTGGAAAATGATTGTATAAAAATAAATTATGATTGTTGTAAGTGGACTTCAAGGGGACAAAATAAAATTCAAAAATATAGGGGCTCTTTAACTGAAAAGTATGAAAATTCAAATTTCAAAAGAAGACAAAGTGTCCATAACTGTTTGCCTGTGTATGTTATGTGTAGACTCCAGGCTTTGCTCTGGCTCTGGGACTCACTGTACATGCACTGTCCTCCTGTGGACACGGTAAAGCTGAAGACATCCGCCCTCGTCTACTGGCTGCGTGGACAAAGATTCTGCTAGCAGAGGTAGTGTACAGCCCTCAGATGCACTCTTTGTTTGTAAAAAAAAAAATCTGCGCTGTAGGTATCAGATTCAGTTGAAGATCCACAGAAATGTATCCCTGACTTGTGGTCACATGGTACATAGTATTTGGAATAGATTTCCATCTGATGTGTGTATAGTCAGCTGTGTACTCAGATGACCTCTGTATACTGTTTGTTGAAAGACTGTACAGACTGTACTGCTGTTTGCCCAAATTACTGACATTAGATGATGTGGACAGTGTTATTCAAACAAGTCTATGCTCTGAGCATTTGACTGTGCCTTCTGCTCCACTCTGTAATAGAAAGTGAGATTGCTTTCAGGATGTCAGCACGGAACCTGTAATAACTGTAATCAAGACTAGATATAATGGCGGAGCACTAAAGCTCGACGCACTGTTTGAGTTTATTTTAAACCTAAGAAGCCAAGAGTTGTTGCTGTTATTTTGCTGTTATATTACAATGTAATTAATATTTGTTACATAGTTATGCAGTGAATGTTACATTTGATCTGCCTTCTGTATTGACAGATTTAAGATTCCTTCTTTCTGTCTGTCTGTTTCAATAACATGCAATGGCATGACATGGCAAAATTTAAAGGGTGTTTTTTTGTACAAAACAACAGCAGTAACATCATTTAAATCATAATGAAAATAGCTCCTTTTCTACTACACTGTGGTACTGATTGAAAGTTCATTTCAATGAGCTACACTTGATAATAAATATAAAATTAAGCCATGATTTTGGCAATAAGTGCAATTTCAAAGGGTTAAAATGATACATAAGCTTTTGTTTGTGTTTTTTCTCATTTTCTCTCCATCAGGGTTGTCCAACCATGCAGAGACTTGCAGCCCTCAATGGACTGATCGCACTAGTGGGTTCTGAAACTGCTCTCCTTCAGGTAATTTGTCTCAGAATACCACTAACAACTCCTGCATATTATTCTGAATGCAGCTGCTGTGACATAGTGCTAGTAACATGCACTGCTTTGCTATTAAAGGTTTTAATGGAGACTAAAATAAGGAGTTAGGGTGGGTGATGTGGAAAAATATGATATCATAATGCTTCACAACATTTTCATGATACACAATATGTATCACAATCTTTAGTTTTCCTAAGGTTTGTAAGTTGGCACAATCAAAACAGAGCCAGTGGTGCTACAGTTAAACAATACTATTGAAAATTGTAAATACAATTATTTTTATTCAATGTTTCACACACTGTGCTGCACCAAATCCACTGCTCTGCATAAGTAAACATATAGTTGGTCAGTGTTTTCTTTTAAGAAAGGAATTTGCCATTTTTTTAAATGTCTGCTGCATGACTGAGATGTAAATGATGTGAAATGCTGTGTTGTAGAGAAACTTGCTGACTCTTGCCTTTCAATGACGATGATAGGAACCAGGGATTGCAATGTCTTTAATAATCATTTATGTACTATATAAAGCCATTAGGGAATCTATGTCTTCAAAGTTTTTATATGTAATGTTGATAATAATAAATTTGGATTAAATGAAAATGAAAAAATTGTTTATTTTGGGGGCTATTTTGCTTTACAGTGCCCTGTATGTACCTCTCTACAATGAATGTGTTTACAAAATATGTTTCAGGCCAAAATCTTCTCAAAACTATCATAAAGCAACATCTCAGACATCAGGCAGTGTACCTATAACCATTTTATGTAATAACGTTCCGTCTGAGGGCTTTAGAGGCTTTCAACTCTTCAGATGTCTGATTCCTATCACCACCACTGTGAACAGTTCTGACTCCTAAGTTTCTCTAGAATGAAGCATTTCACATCAAACCACTCTGTTTTACATCTTAACCATTTAATTATGCTGATTTTTTTGAATTCCCTTTAAAGTACTGATATTCATTATGTGCTCAGAAAAGCATATTGTGACACAATGTGACAATTTATAATGATAACATAAATACTGTCATATTGCCCACCCCTAATTGTAACTGTAAGAGTGATTGTATTGTATATATCAGGGCATGAAATCACTTGAGAACTATTAGAGCTGTTCTGCGTGTGGCTGAAATGCTTGCTTCACCCTTTGATTTCTTTTATTGTTTGTACCAAAGCATGGCTTACAAATAAGTGGCTTTTAAAGCTGAGGCTATAAATGTGGCACTAAACAGCAGTTTACTACCTGTTCATTTGCCACTTTCAGCAGCAGGGCCATTATCACCAGCTTCACTATCTGAAATGGTGCCAGCCGAATGCCAGTCTCATACCACTGCTGCCCTTTTTAAAACCCACACCTGTGCCATCTTAGGCTTTGTGTGGCAAATTACACCCCTCAGTGCCCACCCACTTCACAAATACACACACACACACACACACACACACACACACACACACATGCACCGAGCTGTCTCACCCATTTAAATGCAAATGCCACCATACTTGGAAGGCAGCCAGGAAGTGTCTCCATAGTAACGGCAGAACTTGACAACAGTAGTGAGGGAAGGATTTTCTCCCTCTGTGAATGAAATCCTTGTGGATGTCTCTGATTACATAGCCCTCCCAAACGATGAAAGGATGGACTTATGTGTCTCCCAATTACTTTAGTCACGAGTGCAGCATTCCAAGCGCATTTCAGCACATTTAAATACTCAGTGTCAGATACCATTGGGATTTACACAGTAAATGCTGACATTTTTGTTTAGGTGAACGTGCAAGTAGTTCAGAATTGTGATTCCGTAGGTATTTTTGCAGTATCCAGGAAACAGTTGTGCTTTTTACATCCTGCTTGTGTGACTTTCTATTCCATGTAAGGGCTTCTTTTAGAAACAGTGCAGCATATTGTGCTGTTACTAAGCAATTAACTGCATGTCCCAAAAGATAAATTATATTTGAGGAACATCAGCCTCCCCTGTGCTGTAGTAGCACTACTCAGCCACTAGAGTTCACTGTTGAGCTTCTGCTGTGTACTACACTCAGTACTATGTTATAGTATGTACAGATTATCACCTTGTATCAGCTAATGAAGTTGTTCCTCTTTAGTATTTGTATACTTATGTAATCTTTTCCTCTGTGTCTCCTTTAGCTGAAGAGTGAATCTGAGCAGTCCTCCCAGCAGCAGGCCCGACTGAACGAGGTTATAAGATCCATTACCCAGGTGAGAGTTCCACACATGACCTGCTTTTCTTATCCTTCTTAATAACTCTGTGTTTTTTTATCATCATCTTTCTGGGCCGTGCTAGATATGTGACACTTTTTATTTAAGGGTGAGAAACATGACGATATGTGATCATTATTGTGATAAATTATGTCAGCAGTACACTTTTCTTAGTATTTCATGGGTATTTTGAACACCGATTTACAGAGAGACGGTAAACAACAACGAACAGTGTAGAGTAACTTTTGATTTTCCCTTTATGTTCCTTTTACTAGTATATTTTAGGCCTGTCACAATTGAATGATATTGTTCTGAAATGCATTATATACCACTTCCAAGAATTTTAATTTTTTTCATAATATACAATATGTGGATTGGGCTTTACACATATAGGATATATCAATGTTGTATTGTGATTAATGTCACCTTTATTAATGTAATAAAAATGTATTTTTCAGTATATGTCAGCTGTTTTTCTTTTCAAAAACATTATATCTGAAAGTGTTACAAATGCAAATTCATGTAAATAATAGACAACAGAAAACTGTTTATAGAGTCATGAGCCTTAGAAGAACAAAAGTTCTAACTTCAGACTGTTGCTATAACATGTTTAGAGGGCAATGGTGAGTAAAGTTTGTATATTCGAGCTTGTGCCTGTGATCAGTTGGGAGATGCTAAATATCTACAGCTAGGAAGCAAGATGGCTAATCCGCAAATTTGACTATTTTAGACTTGTATTTTAATGCATCTTAATTATCTTTCAAACAATACCTTTCAAATGTACTCATAACTTTTCAGTCTAAGTGCAACATGGCAATACTGTTGCTGGTGCATTTGACTGATATTTATTAAATATAAATACCCTCAGTGATATTTATTACACATTTCATGATTAAACAGTATGTCCTGTCTCTGTCTCTGTCTTTTGTTGTCACTCCCAGATCATTTCTTTCTCAGGAGCGATAGGTCTGCAGTCAAATGGAGCGTGTCTGGTGGGTTACCTGCATTTAGCCCACATGTCCAGCAGCCACAGCAGAACTGCAGGTGAGACTGCTTTAAAACTACTGCACACACTCATCACCTCTCTTTCTCTCTCTGTCTCTCTCATACTCTCTCTTGCTCTGTTATTTTCCCATATTTATTTTTTTCTTTGTTTCGTTCAGTGCCTCAAGACTTCAGCTATCTCCCAGAGAAGAGTGTCATCAGAGCTTCAGTTGAATACATCATTGAAGCAGGAAGGAAAGGTATTCTAAATCTACTTCACCAACTGTGTGGATTCGTTTCTCAACCTACATCTCCAACTTAAGTCATTTCTAATGTCATTTTTCTGAATTTTAACTTGTATGTTGTATGTTTTAACACATTTGATTTTTTTATTTGTCTGGCTGTAGGGCCTGAGTTCATTCCTCCTGATCTGATAAAGGTAGTGTTGGCTCCACTGGCCACAGTAGGAGGGTAATTTCCAATATCCACCGGTCAACTGGAACGTCATCCTCTCACCCCTGATGAGACTCAACTTTGGTAAACATTTAGATTCTTTGTACTTCTACATTTTTGAGCCCTGAATATAAAGTTACTAGACAGAATGACTGATGTTTGTTAAAGCTTCACAGCCAGCGGTATGACAGTGATTCTCTGTATAGGATGTGATAACTTATTTTCACTTAAAAAATCAACAAAACATGTCATTTGACCAGGAGTGCCCAAGCTATCGAATATGACTTATACTGAGTGAAAATGTAGCACCTAACATTATAGGCATAGTTGTGCATATGCCCTTTTTAATCATTAGCCTGTGAGTATGTAAAGGCTCCTCTCTGTCTTGTAGGTGAGGAAGTGCAGCATCACTGTGTGGAGCTGGCAGCCAGTCAGGCTCAGTCTTCCTCCAGTGCTGCATTGTTCCTGGGTGTGTGGCTCGCTCCTCCTCTCGTCCACAGCCTGAGTGTGAGTTATTGTCGTGTGATGTTATAACAATATGAATAGATTCCGTTTATTAGTATTTTAAAGGGGAATTCCACACAGTCATTCAGAGTGGTCTCATGTGAAATGGTACATTGTAGAGAAACCACACTGATTCAGATGAAGGTGATAAAAATCAGGGGTTGCGATTTCTACAAGAAAATTCTAGGCAACTTATTAACTATCCAAACCATGCATCTTCTGCATTTGTAATGTTGGTGATGATAAAATAGAAAAAACTACATTTACTTTGAGGGTTATTTTGCCTTCCCTCCATGTATCTGTCTGTTGTGAATGGAGTTTAAAAAACAAACAAACATTTTGGGCCAAAATCTTCTCTCAAAACTATCAGACATCAGGCAGTGTATTTATAACCCTTCTGTCTAGTCATTTTCTGTGATGTGGCTAGTTTAGAGGCATTAAACTCAGATGTCTGGTTCCTGCTACAGTTCTAACGTGATATGTTTGTCTAGAATGGCATATGACACTTGTAGGGACTTCAGTTGCCAAAGCCATCTAAGCTTTGCCCTGTTTTTGGGAGACTGCAAGTTCAGTCCCTGGAGATGCCATAGCCGCTTGTGGCCAAGAGTCCAGCTGCAGCTCTCTGGGTGGGAAGGATGGGTCTCCCTCTACCCCACTGCAGTGCTAATTAAAGTGTTCATCTCTTCTGACATAACAGAATTGACAGTTAACATTCTCCTCCAAGCACGTTAAGCTGTCCAGTCACATTGCATCCAATAAGGATGTATTGAAGACGTGGAGGAATTACATGCTAACCTTCACACTTCTAAGTTGGAAGCATCGCATGTGCTTTGGAAAGACTTAGCTAGCAGTTGGGAATTGGCCTCGACTAAAATTATGAAGAAACCTCAGTAATAATTAAATGAAATATATTACGCTATTACCCATTATCTAACAGCTTGTGCTTTCCAAGGAAAATGTCTCCATTATTAAGTGCGCAATTTATAAAATATAAATGTTGCAACCAGTATAACACCACTGTCATCTATAAAACTTTGAAAGCATTTATTTTTTTTACTTTGATATTTTTGCACCATTTGAGAATGCCACTGGCCCTTTACTTTGTATGATCATTTCATAGTGAATGGACTAATATAAATGGTCCATAATGATTGATGTACATTAAACTTTTTTTTGCTTCTGTTACAAAGTTACAGCAGTAGTAACAAATTATTCCTCACTCCATCTTCTATATGTAATGTGTAATGTTAACGTTAACGTTTGTATTTCTCTCTTCTTCCCGCTGTAGCTCCGCACCAGAGCGCTCCTGTATGAGTGTCTGAACAGTTGGATGAAGCATGTGGCGGAGGATAAGCTGCAGGTGTATGTGGAGAGTCTGGCAGTACAGCAGTTTAACTCAGAGATTCGCGTGCAGCGTCTCTCTCTGTGTCTCTCCATTCTGCGTGGCCTGGCTAAGGCTATGGCTCTCCCCAACCCAGCCCAGAACTGCTGGACCACCCTGTGCTCCACCACAGAGAAGATTTACAACCTTTTACCTGATCGTATACAGGTAGGACCTCCCTAGAGTCCTCATAGAGTAGGTGGGGTTGTAAAGAGCATAGTCCTGTATAAAGTATAGATTAGAGATAATTAGTAGAACTCCAAATGAAGCTGTAAAGAGAATGTGCTGCAGATGATTCTAAAATGACTGAGAAAGCTGTACAGCAGCAAAAATGAAGTTAAATTTTACATTAAGAAAAAAAAAATGGTGATCAAATTTCGAGGTAGATAATGACAAGAAATATTATACGTAGATATTTTAAATATCTTTGCCGTCCAAAAAAAAACCCCAAATATCTCCAAAATGGAGAGAGGGCAAACTGGTTAATTACTTTTAATGTAAGTTAATGTGGTGCAATTTATATTATTTAAATCTTATTTTTTTATAATTTAATATTGCATACAGAATAACAAAGAGTTTACATAACAAGTAATTGCAAACTTTTAAATGGTGGTTTTATATTTCAGATTTGTAAGAATGAGTGGGTTGCATATGCCTTTGTTTTTCTGTTTTAAATGTTTTTAAAAGTTTTTAAAAGCATTTATTTTTTTTTAATTTTTTATTGTAGCCCAACGAGGTGGAACTCTATGAGGGAATCTGTTCCTGCTTGTCAGAAATGAGTGACACAGAGATTGACAGGATTGTCAAAGTGACTGAGGTACAGATGTACTCCACTAAAGCAGCATATTGGTAGACTACTTAAATTTGCTAAAATCGTTTGGTCCTTGAATAATCTTGCTCTCTGTATCAAGACACTTTGCCCTACAAAATGTCTTGCTGTTCAGTTCAAATTGATTTGTTTCACTGTGCATGCACAGTAATTAAGTGACAGCTGCAGCAGTGACTGTTCTTTTAAGTTAACCCCTTAAGCAGGTCCAGACTTTCCTTCCTCACTCTTGTAACTACATACATTACATATTAGTTTCATTGTAGTTATAATGATAATATAGATAATGTCTAAACCATGACATTAGTAGCTGAATCATAAGCCTAGAATTTGAGGGGTTAAAATCTCTAAGTGAATTCACTTAAATTTCAGACTCATAATTTAGTACCTTTGTACAGATGTTGTTTTCCCTGCTGCAACACATCTAACTAACCTTATAAGCTTATCAAGCCCTTGATGCATTGAATCAGGAGGGTTAGAGCAAAGAAAATGCTACGGTGAACTGAGCAGGTCTGAGTAACTCTAACTCTCACTGATCTTTACTGACCTCTACAGGCCAATGTGGAGAAAACCGCCTTTATTCTGTCCTGCTTCAGTTCAAAGGGCAGAATCCCACTCCTGGGCCTCAATGATGTCATCAGCACCGTCTTGCAGAAGGGGAAGAGTGAGCAGATCAGCTGGCTTCTTCTGCAGTGTCTCTACCAATCACGTCTGGCCTCTAGCCCTAACACAGGTGAGTCCCAAATACGTCACTGCAGATTTTGCTAGTGTTTCCTAAACTGTAATATTATAGTTATTCTCCTGAGGGCTTTATTAAGGAATTACAAAATCATTATGATTAGATAATAATGTCCTTTCCAGAACTGGTGTAAATAAAACACTGAAAGTGAAGAGCACCAAGCCTCCCATTCGCAGCAGCTGGAATGCTAAACATAATGTTACTGGCAGTTCTTAATAAAGCCCTCAGTAGAACTACTGTATCCGGCAAACTTCCCACCAGTTCTGGTAGGGTACATCTCACTTGATAGAATGTGGAAGGATGTCTTTTGTAGCAGTCTTGCAGCAGCAGCTTTGATGTTTGGTATTTTTCACAAATACACAAATGTGGAGAGAGGGAGAAAGTAATGTGATGCGCCTGGGGTCTAAGGCAACTAGGTAAGTGTCACACTGAATAAGTATTATCAAATTATAAAGTGCTGTGCATAAGTCAGAGACCGCCCTTCAGATATTTAATTTCCAGTCAGAACAGCCATTAAATTATTCATTTTTCAGCATTAATAAAAACAACATATAAAAACATTTGTTTAGTGTTCACTCTTGTCTTTATCACAGCTTACATTCTTTTCGGGGGACTTGCTTTTAGTTTTTCAAAGACATCTGCAGCTTTTTCCACACCTCCAAAGTTCAGTCTTAGATGTTGGTTGCAGTCTTAGATGTTGGTTGCATGCTCTGGGGTGGTCAGTACATTGTTCGGAGAAAACCTGCAGCTTCTTTTCCTTTCTTTTTCTTTTTTTTTCTTTTTTCTTAAAAATGGCTTCTTGAGAGCGACACATCCTTTCAGAGCCATAACATTCTCGCAGTGGAAGGATGGACAGAAATACCTGTGGATTTTTCAGATCTGAAGCAAGAGTGGAGCTTGATTTTTCTCCTCTCAAAGATGAATGTACTTTGTATCAGATGGTGACACTTTTGGTTTTGCACAATTTATTCACTTATTTTCCTTTGACTTTCCCCTTCCTTATGCAAGTACATCATCTTGTATTTAATCCCCTCAGAGTTATCTCCTGAAAAATAATGACTGTTTTGAGTGGAAATTAAATAAATGAAGGGTCGCTGACCTTTGCACAGTACTGTACATTTTCAAACAAGGGTCAGCAAACCTTTCCATACATGCCAAGAACAGAGAAAAACATACACAGAGATGTGGTTATATAACAATACATAACAATACTGGAAGACCTTCTATAAGTGATGGAGTAGTAACTGTTAATATGCTGGCTAGCCAATAGAAAACCAGTAGATACTGACCACTCGGACTGGAGATGCCAACTACCATTAAATGTAGAAGCTAGAGCTTAAATCACGCTTTTTTTAGATGTCTAAAAACAAAAACTAGGGGTAATAGGAAGCCACAGCTTTCTGCATCTGATATTCATACTTTCTTGTGAGTGGAGTGACTCATTGGTAGCTCACATTATGCGTCACTTAAATCGCTTTGCAGGCTTTCAGTGTCTCTTGTCAGTGAGAGGCATTACAGAAAGTGTTTGCATCACGATTGTTCATAATTACAGTTAATAATGAAATGTGGTAAAATACATTGCACGATTATAGTGCTATAACTCTGTTCTTGTGATTGCTTTGTAAGGCTGTATTCAAGCAGCATTTGCATTGCCTTTAGGTGTGTCCAAAAGAATGGAGTGGCTGCTGGAGTTAATGGGGCACATCAGGAAAGTGGCATACGGAGCTCCCTCAGTGAAATGTGACAACATCAAAGAGGTGTGTAAATACTGAGAGAGGTACTGATCACAATGAAAACCTGTCAGTCCTAGCAGATAGAAATGCTTATGGCTGAGTTTATGGCCAACAGCATTAACCCTTATGCTGAAACTTGTATCAGTAATTTAGAGAAAGTGAAAAACCTTTTCATGTACTCAAATCCAAAGATACGTTTGATGTCTGAAGTTTGCTTCTGAAGTTTGCTTCTGAAGTTTTGCACCAGAGCTTTGAGGCTAATGTATCTTGCACAATATACTACAGACCCTATAAAACACTGTTATCTGTAAAAATGGATAAAAGTACATTGCATAGCTAAAAACTGTAGTTGCAGCCATATGGAAGCTTGAAGTATGTTTGTACCTTTTTCCATTTTATAGATAACAGTATATCATGCAGTGTCAGAAACCTAGTCTGTTTGAGGTCTTGCAAACTGCATGGTGCTGATTGCTGAGGTATAACCTTTAATGATTTGTTAGCTATCCTGGAGTTACTCACAGCTCAAGTTCAAAACTAAAGAAGCAAACTATAGACACCAAACTTTGGCTATTGACTGACTACATTTGGGGTAAGTGTCTTGTCAGTGGTCAGCCTAAACAGTTTCTCATCCCCGGCACAGGGCACAGACTTCCTGCTTGATGTTTTCGCGTCTGCTTTGGTGTCATGGGCAGACCATTCTATGCCTCTCCTCATTGGGGTCAGGGCCCAGTGGTTTCCATGGAAACAGTCACCCTTCCAGTACCCAGACTTGTCCCATGGCCTCTATGTGAACACCGTTAGCACTGATGAGTCACTTAAACAGTGTGTGCTAGCGATGCCATACAGTCTGAAGCATCTGCTGGCCAAGGAGCCGTGGAAGTCCCAGTCACAGAAGGTATGGATTGATGGAAGCTTAAAAAGGTCTATACAATATATAATTTGTTAGTCGTTATTGTGATATTGATGTGATTGATAGTGATACAGCAGAAGGCTACAATATGCAAATGAGCCAATCACAATGTTTTCTGCTGTGTGTAATCAGTTTCAGACGGGTTTCTGTGGGTATTTTGATGAATAAAAATGTTCATGCAGTCCTACAAAAGTAAAGTTTGATCATTTACAGCACTGTGCAAACATTTAATCCAATTGGCAGTGAAGACACTTAAAACAAGTTAATTTTTCATTGTCAGAAAAAAGCAGTAAACTTATGTAACAGAAAATTATACAAAAGCCTCCAACACTAAGTATATCAAATCTATAAATAATTAATTGATCCACCCCTCACTTTCATATGAGGGGATTAGATACAAGATAATCCACTTGCATAAAGGAGGGGAAGTCAAAAGAAATGTGTATTTAAGTGTATTTAAGTGTATTTAAGTGTGAATAAGTTTCCAAGACTTGAGTTCAAAACATTATTAAAAGATACAGAGAAATTAGGATTCCTAACAACCCTGCAGATTTTTTTTGAAAGACTGAAAGCAAGTCCACCAAAAAGAATGGAAGCGATTAAAAAGGCAAAGAATGGACAAACTAAATATTGAATAATTCACATTATGATTAGTTATATTTATTTAATATTTTGTTAAGGCTTTTGTTTAATTTTTAAATATTTGTTCTGCTTTTTTCCCCCCATGCTGAGAAATTACTTGTACTTCATGATTGTCTTGACTGTAAATTGAAGAAATCAAAGATTGGTCTCTGACTTTTGTACAATCCTGTATCACAGTCGCAATGTAGCACTATATTGATAACAATAATCACAACGTGGTATTTGGTCCATATCATTCAGCTCTACTCTTTAAGGTGTAATAAATTGTTAATTGCACTAAGAGTAATAATGAGGTGTTGGTCATAAGTAAAAAAAAGACTCTATAGTACTAACTGAGTTATGGCAGAGCTGGTAAAATAGAATAATAACAGAGCAAGTGGAATATGAATGATTCTTGTGTGTCCTCCCCTTTCTGTCAGTTTATTGACTGGCTCTTCAGCATAACGGAAGCTCCTGAGGACACTTTATCACAGACCGCTATCTTTACAGCCAGAGGTGAGAAGCTGAGTGTCAAAAAGCTGTTTTCAACTTTGCTATATATGACGACTGCAGCCAGTTTTAAAACCGCCTGTAAACCATTGCATGAAATCTCAAAAGTTACAGTTTATGATATATTACATAGTTTCATATTAAACAACACTGTGTCCTGTATCTCTCTTTATTATACTTATATCTCATCAGCTTGTCTTTCTTTTCCTCCTCAGCGGCTTTACTGGCTTTGAAATCCACCCCAGACTTTAAGAAGAAGACAGTGTGGACCAGAGCATATGGCTGGTGACCTCAGTAATGCACTCAGTCACTGCTAGCTTTAACTGCGCTTAACAGAACCCTTATTTTTGTTACAAAGTTAATGGATTGCAGGCTTAAGCAGATTCTTGGGAAGTACTTGAAAAATACGCTGGGAAGTCTGTGCATGCATGTCTTGCTTGATCCATCACAGAATGACTGATCTATATCTCACACTGTGGTGAAGTTATTTACAGCTTAGAACAACAATCAGACTTAAACCCTGAAGTACAGGAATGTACCGTACAGCAAAATATCACAGCACGTCACAGTCCTTCCTTCTGAAATGCATTCTGTTTGGAAATACTCTGTTACATAAGTTTATTGCAATGTGCTAATGACAGGTTTTCTTTGTGGATTAAAATAATTTCTGCAGGCAGTGTGTTAAGCAGTGTTCCAGTGCATTTGCATTTATGCAGCAAAACTGCAATATTTCTTCCCAGATAAATTTAATAAAACATTTAATCTGTTACATGAAAAGGTGCAATATTCAATCCTTAGTTTCGTTCACGACAGTACATTCCATATGTGCTACACTGCCTGTTATATATCAGTGCAACCTAACCCATCCAGTCTTAAAGTCCAAAAACAGTCAGGATTCCTTTCTACATGACCATTTTCCTACTTCTCTTTATCCCTTAGAATTAAACAGGCTGTTTTAGTTTCTGTGCCTTTAAGACATAAATCTCTGTTCTGATTGGCTGCCCTGCATTGTGCTTCCTTCAAAAAGTAAACACTCCTTATGACTTCAGCGTGAATGAGCGGAGCTAAACTGCTATAGACTGAATAGGCTTATATATGTAAATCTATTAGTTTTCATGACATCACAAAAACATTGAATTCAAAATAGGTCGTTTTTGCAACGTAGTTTCACATGTAGCATGGATGGTTTGGGCAGTGACCGTTATGTTTTGAAACTTCAACACAGTCATAAAAGTGAGAAAAATCTGGATTTCCATGATTCGGGCCCAAAAAGAGAAAATAAAAATGGGCACCAAAGTGCATTTTAGCTTATGTCCTTTTCACTTAATAAAAACATAATGGCATTTTGTAACACTGAGAATTTCTTCAGTTAACTTATCTTCATCTTCTTATTCCAGCTGTCAAATGTCTGTGTCCTTTGTTTCAGCAAGATTAGTACTGTCATGCCAGAACCTTCAAAACAGAAATAAAAGCGTTTACCAATGGTTTGCAAGCTATTGCTGGCTTTGGTGTATTTATTCACTGTGAAGTGAATAGCTGTCAGTTTGTGTCTCACCTGCTGCCAACAGAGGAAGGTAAGCCTTTAGCAGGTATGGAAAATGGACATAGACAGAAACAGGTGCTTTAAGCTCGTCAGAATACATCTCCTGAGACTCGTAGTAAGGAAGTGCCTGTAAAACACTGATTCCTGAGAAAAGGAGGAAATAAAGGAAAGAGAGTGTTGCAAGAGGAAATTACAGCAGATGGTAGATTATGCAATGCGAGCAGCTACAACTGTGTTCGTATTATTAAAGAAGTGCCTCTGTTAGAAGAAAAGTAACAGGTTAAACAGTTAAACGGCTTTTAGTCATGCTTTTAGTCATGTTCTTGTATTCTCGTAGCATTCATCTGTGAATTTTGACAGCAGGCAGACAGTTATTTCTCCAGATTCTCCTGAAGACTACTTTATACCGTAAAAGTAACTATTTTTTCAGCAGGTTAGAGAGTTAAAGGGGAATTCCTCCTATTTTGCGAAATCCAGTGGTGCCTTCAGAGTGATTTAATGTGAAATGGTTAATTGTTGAGAGTTAGATTTCTTTACAGTGGTGGTAACAGGAATGTCTTGATATGTTGATATGTGTTGATAATGGTGAAGTAGTGGTAAATGTGAAAAAAAAAAAGTTTTAATTAAAAACTTATCTTTGAATGCAAAAAAAACCTATTTTGCCTTTGAAAACAAGATGTAAGTATTCACAGTGAGAGCTAGCCAGGCTAAAGTATAGCCTCCACATGGCAGGGTTAGTTTTAACACAGTGTTCCAGCAAAGCATCCTAAAGTAAACAGTGAGAGAATGCTCCAGTATGCACAGATTCATTAAAAACATGCGACAGCTATCATGTAAATAGTGTTTAGAAATAGAAATAAAAGCGATTAATTGTGTTATTTTCAAATAACGCTTTCATTGTGTTGTTCTCTGTTCTATTTTGTGGTCAAAAATAATTTTGACACAGCCTCTTCTTTACAATTATTCTCATATTCATTTTGAGCAATATATTTTTATGTTCTTAGGTGGGCCTGGTTCAAACAACACAACACTGAATTGAATTGTTTATCAATTATCAAACCTTTTAGAGAGTGTTAAGACAAGCCTGTTGCAGTCAATCCCATCTGTGGGGTTATCTGTAATGTTTGCACGCATTCTTCTCCTGGTTTAGTATCATAAAAAGTATGTGCTGGAAATTTGAGTTTTCATTTTTGTAGCAGAGATGTGCAGGTTGCTTGTATGAAAACATACCAGTCTTGCTTAAATACTTTTAAAATTATTTTGTACAAAAAAAAAACAATGTCGGTTGAGTTGTGCCTTTTCAGTCTCCTTTCTACTTCAGACGTTTTAGAAAAACCACAGCTGAAGCTATCAGGCCATTGGCTGTGGTACAATTGCAACGCTCTTTTATCAACACATTTCCTGACCCCCCCCCTCCATCCAACCGCCGTCCCAGCCAACACAATCTCTAACTCAGGCCTATGTACTGTCTCACTTCCTGCTTGTTCAAATATGTATTTCCTAACCATGTGGCCAATTCGTAGCCCTTATGACCCTTTTAACTACGCTTAAACAGTGACCTGCTTTTTGTTTATACCTCTGTAAAGTTATTATTCAAGACTGTGCAAATGTTTGTTCTGAACTCCAAATGCCGACTACCTCATTCTGAAACATTCCTCTGTCCTACTTATACAGTTTAATTTTGAGTTACAGTACAAATACCATATGATATGGAAAATTGTTGGACAAATTTTACTAAAATCTTATTTAATCTAGTGAGGAACAACAGCACACAACTTTTTGTCAAAGTATCTAGGCTAAGTTTAGACTGCACTATTAATTTGATCTAATGATATTGATTTATTGATTATTTTGTGTGCATGTAGCAGATCATACTGTTAGCATAACATGTTGTCATTTCCAACATGTCTAGATTTGTTTAGCTACTAAAGATGCACTGATGTGGGGAATTGTGGGCAAAGGCTGATCCTGTTGGTGATACACTTATAAAACGTAGATATTAGGACTAGATCCACCCGGATTAGCATTAGAGAGAAATGTAATGTTTTTTGCAGAGGTATTTTAGCATATTTGCAGAGATATTTTAGTTCAGAAGCCCAAAATCGCCTAAATGTTGTGCTCTTTTTGGAGTATAATAGATATACCATCAAACATCGGTGTGAAATCTAAACATTATTATGTAGTGACTAAACAACGACAAGTGGTCTTGATTTTTTTCCACAAAATTTAGTGGATGGGTCAATAATATCTGTCTGCAGAGCCGCAGATCCACAGTTTCACACCAGCAGTTTTACTCTAGCAGGTTCAAGCCAGTGGCATTCAGTGCACCGACACTTGTTTTGGTTTTTCTTAGTGAGTTTTAGGCTAATCAAATTTTAGTCATTTTATGTGGGTTTCCAATAAATTTGTGTTGGGCTAATGCTATATTTTAAGCTTTAGGCTAAAACAAACTTTATACCATATAGAGATTCACAGGGTAAATATTACACAAACTACAGCTTCTGTGGCCTGGGTAAACTAATGAGTTATGTAGACATATAGCTCAGTGAACTTGCCCTTAAAACTGGGGCTTTATGTGTACACTTACATGTGCAGGAATAAAACTTTACCTTGAGCATCTTAAATTGAGCATAATATTAAGCTTTAGGCTAAAACAAACTTTAGTTTTTGAACGTATCCCTGCTGGAAAAAACATAGAAACCATTAAGTGTTTCTGTAGGGTTCTGATGGTTTTGTAATGTTTTGGCTTATGGTTTAACCGGTTGACAATGGTTGATGCATATATTGGCAACGTTTTCCCTTCCTGAATGATGATATGCATGGCGGCATGTACAACCAGCACAAACATCGCTGGTTACATCAGAAACGTTCAATGGTTGAAATATGAATGGGATAGTGTGGCCCATATCATACCTTCTGCGATCACAGATAGTATATAGACCGGAATGGAGACGGTGTGGCGTGCCCACAGCATATTGAACGATGGGGTGCTGATGAGACACAGGAGCTCGTATGGATACCTACAATACAGAACATAGTCTTGCACAGCTATGTTGTTACTGCTTGAACCAACAGCTATCTAAAAAAGCAGAGTTTGCTGCTTGTGAAAGGTACCGTGTGCGAGGCTTTGTAGCACGAATAAAGAAAGCTTAAAATATACTGAAATGTACAGTAATTTACAGGGCATTGAACTATTGTACTATGAATCATATCATAGTGTATGCAAGTGGAAGATACACACCTTAACAGATCTGAAATATTCCACAGATAAAACAGCACACACACTATTGTTTTACTCTGAAACTCCTCTTGGCTGATGATCAAGTATAAAAGGAAATTTCTCTCCATCACCTGCCAAGGAAATTGAGGGAAAAAATGAGCTCTTAACAGGGATGAATGAATGTGTAGTACAATGTGTTAATGTTTTAACGCTGGTATCATACTTCAGCATTACCTGGACCAAGCGAGGGAGGAGTCTGCTTTCTTCAAGTCCATCTGCTATGTGAAAAAGCTCCAGTACTGACAGAAGCTGGCACAGACACATCATCACTCCCACAAAATAGAATGTGCCAGCTAAAGCATCTAAAAACAGACAGTAAAGAGCAAACAAGTCGGATTTTTTAATGTACTGTATTAAATGCAGGGGTGCAAATTTGGTCTGACCAGAGCAGGGGACCAACATCAGGAGGCTATAGCTTACAAACAGCAATTCAAATGTAAAACTTTAAATCAAGTATGCCTATATTTACACAAAACAAATAATTTAATAACAGGAATGCTAATGTCAGTATAGACATTCAAATTTGTTTCTTTTTTTCTTTCCATTGCATCACTAAAACTCTCCTTCTGATCTGTATGTAAATATTATAGCAGTATACCCCATAATAAAAAATATGGTGATAAGAAGTGAAAAAGGATTATTAATAACTTATGGCATAATTCAACATATGATCATCATGTAATAACTGAAATCTGACAGCACTTTTGCAGCAACAATCTGGCAAACCCCAAAATTGTATTGCATAATTTCAAGTGGAGGGTTCATGTCTGCCCCTGAGTTTGCACCAGTGGTTAAATAGCAATGTCAACAAGCTGCTAACGGTATTAAAACAAAAGTGGTCAATGGGTAATAAAGTCTAATGTATAGCGGTCTCTTCAGCAAGTTTCAATACAAAACACATTCCTACCTTAGAAAACATGTTTTTCTTCCCATTTATTGTTATTCTCTCATTTCCCTCCTGCATGTGTTTACACAAGCATGAGCCACCACTTTCAGCTGATTTAGCATAAAACCTAAGCACAGGCTGCAGAAAGCTAAACAGCTCTTGTCCTCCTCCTTCACAGTATTTATTTAGGGGTGGAGAGCTTAAAGCTGTTACTCACCGCAGCCAAATGAGAGAAATCTGGCAGACATGTTTGCAAAGATCCATGAGTGTCCACAAAACTGTAGCAAGTAGTACAAGAACAGGTAGGCAAGCCCGATGCTGCACCTGGTTAAAAAAAGACAGGGGCATTACAGGAGCACTTACTGACATGGTAAATCTGTTTATTTACCATGTTAATTACATCATTATATACATTTGCAAGGCCTTCTTCCTGAACACCACTGAGGCTCTGCTTTTTGTGCTTAAGTAAATCATCAAGTGGATTATAGTCCAGATTACAGTCCAGATTTGAATTGTGTCTTCAAAATTATGATACAGTGCAAACAATTACTTTCCACAGGGCAAAGAACAATACAGCAAATTGCTTTTAGGAGCTTGAATGTACTGCCAATGCAGCAACAACCTCCACCTTTTGTCCTATAGTAAAGAACAGGATGCTTGTGATGTTGTAATGCTTGTCAGCTTCTCTGGAACTATTTTACTGCTCTTTGCTCATTTAAATGTTGCAGTTAGTGATATGTTTCTACAGTACAAGTCATTGCTTTCCATCTTCCTCCTTTTCATGCACAGGAACATAGATAACTAATGCTAGTGCAGCCAGAGTGCTAGCCACCATGCATAACTTAATTGCCAAATTTATGCTAAAACTTTTTTAAACTTTTATAAACATTATAAACATGAAGATGTGATGGTTTTGATGCTTGCAGTCCATTTTGAACCTGAAAAGGGAAGCAGTTCTATAAACCATGGAACCTTATGGGAGGTTTGTTCTTCTTACTGTAGAAGCGCAGATTTCACAAGAGCACCAGTGCCGTTTTAAAATGCCTGAGAAAAGGCATCAAAAAACATGGGGAGGGGAAAAAAAACATTGGACTGGCCAGTTGACATAAAACACATTTCTTGTACAACTCAGTTTACTTTTACTCTGAGATGCTCTTTACTTGTCAGAGTTGTGCTGTTTGGACCCTGTGTAACCCTTTAAACCGTAAGGACTCGTATGTGAGCCCACACTTCAGTTCCTCCCTCTCATAACTGCATAACTTACATATTAGCCTCATAGTAGTTATTGGATATTAAAGGGGAATTCCACCAACATTTGAAAATTTCTCAATAATTCTGTCTTTGAGATGTAAACAGAGTCACTCAGAGTGGTTTGATGTGAAATGATTAATTGTAGAGAAATTTTGTAGAGAGACTCTTTACTTTCTTTTTTTCTTTACAATGGTGGTGATAGGAACCAGTGTCCACTACACAAATATAGCCATTTTATTTATCATCCAAAACCACCAGTGTCTTATCAGTTTTTTATATGTAATGTTGCTAATTATAAAATAGTCATAAATCTAAAAATAATAAGTTTTCTTTGGGGACTATTTTGCCTTGCAACGCCCATGAACGGATTAAAATACGTGGATTAAAATACATTTTAAGCCAAAACTATAATAAACCAATGTGTCCGGCATCAGACAGCGTATATCTAATCATTTCATGTAGTAACTTTCTGTGAGGGTGATTTTAGAGGTGGACGTCTGGTTCTTATCATCACCACTGAGAACAATTCTGACACAAGTTCCTCTAGAACGGAGTATTTCACATCAAACCACTCTGAATGACCCTGTGTACATCCCACTCATTTAGTTGTGTAGAATTTGAAAAAAAAAACGGTGGACTTCCCCTTTCAGTGTTAAGTTGCATAACCGTACAATAGGTAGGAAACTGGGCTCTGGTCGCGAAGAGCGCCGTTTTACATGACAGTTGATCGTGTGTGTAGATGAGTGCAGCCCTAACTGCTGCCAGCAGGACGGCAGTGGAGTGGAAAGTGTGAAGAGTGAAGTTACGCCCACCGTCGCTGCTGCTCGGTTGTGGATGAGGGTAAACCCACCGCTGAGCTTCACCCAAAACAAACCCCAAAAGGCCTTAACAGCGGAGTGTGAGAGCGCTGGCCGTGTGTCTGTCCGTGCCGCTTACCTCATGTCCTTCGCTGCTTTGTGGAGACTGTGTTCGGTGTCCATCCCGCTTTTCTGTGGAAAACAGCGAGTCTGACTTCTCCCCTCAGATTCTCCCGCTGACGTCAGAAGGGCAGGGCCGGCGGTGGGCTTTCCCAAAAATTCACCAAAGGGCTGGAGACTGAGTGAGAGTTTGGATGTCCAGCAGGGAGAGCGTTTCTCTCTGGATTTTAGTCGAGGAGATGTGGATGAACAGAGGGGTCACTGTGCAGGTTTGTTTAATATGGCGTTTAGTAGTAAAACACTGTTAGAATTGATTTGTTGTTTTATTGAGCATTAAATAGTATGTTAACACAACAATAATCCTGTTAACCTGCAATGGGAAGTTCAGTAAAATTAAAGTGTTAAGGCAGCCACACTACATTTACAACACTGAGTTTACTTTTTTTTTTTTAGATAGCTGTTTTTTTTTTGGAGTAAATTAACTAATTAATTTTATGTTAAGGTTACAAATTGATTTTAACTTAAGAATCAGAATCACTTTATTTCACCAAATAAGTTACACATACAAGGTATTAGTCTTGGTGAGTGCACACATGTATGACATGTAACACACTGAACAGACCAGAGAAGCACACAGACTACTGACAAATATTCCTCTAAGGGACAAATAAAATGAAAATATGAAATAATATAATCATAATAAGGAGCTGATGTGAAAGGAGCTACAGAGATGTGTGAATATTTGTACAGATATGAATATCTATACATATGCAGGTCTGAATAAAGATGATACAATAACTAATATATGCAGAATATTACAGAATGATATGAACGTAAAATAAACATTTATACAGTTGTGCATAGTCAGACCAGCTGGGAAGGCAGCCTGGTCTATGCTGTTTTTTTCAGCAGGGAAGATAATATTTAGAAGCAACATTTACTACAAATGTGCTATTTAGCTACATAATGCATTCAGTTGTTTGAGTAAAATATCAATTTGTTCAACAATGTTAAAACTTGCATTTACGGTGCAGATCATTAACATTTCTAAGTTAAAGCACCAAATCATTTTAAAGTGTAGGAATATCTAAGCAGTCGGTTAATTCTACTAAAATTCCACCTATTTTTTTTTTTTACCATATCTGTGGTCTCTTGCTTCTGATCAGGTGTTTTTACCTATAGCAGAGTAACACCTGCTTTTGTATGTGACCTGAAACTGAGAATTTACTTTTTTTGTTTTTTTTTTATTTTTATGTGCAAGACTTTTTTCTTATAGTGTTAGAAACTGTTGTGTAAAAGCATGAGTTCATAGGTCAAGCTCTACAGGTAACCTTCTTGGGTTTGATGAGATTTCAAATCTATACAATAAGACAATGTTCTGGTGGTCTGTTTCATGTGGAATGGGGGACTTTTGTTGTGGCACTTTTTGAACACAGTAGGAGCTCTAGCGCTTCTCCTTATGCGTGCCTACAATTACATCATTGAAACATTCACTCCTCAGCCTGCTTTTGTAGAGGATGGACCAGGACCAAACATCACACAGGGTGTGGTGGCTGCCTTGAGAGGATAAAGTTGAAGTGGAGTGGACATTGTAAGAGCTGTCTGGGTTGGTTTCTGAAGCCCTGTCAATAAGTGGAGTTCAGTTTTGCACACACTTAAGGGTTCCATGAGTTCTATATAGAACAATTTGCATGCTTAAATGGTTCTTTGCGTGGTGAAATGGTTCTTCAGACTGATGGGGAATGTATTGTATATGATTATGATTTCCTTTCTGTTACAATGCCAAGCTTATGTCAATCGAAGAACACTTGTTGGTGCTATATAGAACCATTTTCAAAAATGTTCTGTATGGAATCATGTACACATTCCCCATAAGTGTTCTTCAGATTGGTGGAAAGTCGTTTGCATATGGTTCCATATAGAACCTTTTTGAAAAGGGTTCTTCTATTGTTATAATGTCAAGCTTGTAACAATAGAAGAAGCCTTTTTAGTGCCATAAAGAACCCTTGGTTCAATATAAAACCACTGTCTTTACTAAAGAACCATTTACATCATTAAATGGTTCTTCAGATTGGTGGAGAATTTTTTGCATATGGTTCTATACAGAACCAAGGGTTCTTTATGGCACTAAAAAGGCTTCTTCTATTGTTACAAGCTTGACATTATAACAATAGAAGAACCCTTTTCAAAAAGGTTCTATATAGAACCATATACAAACGACTGTCCACCAATCTGAAGAACACTTATATGATGGAAAGAACACTTTATTCATGCAGAGTTCATGTTCATGGTTCTACATACAACCATTTTATTTACTAAGGAACCCTTGAAGAACCGTCTTAATTTTAAGAGTGTATAATCTTATTGTACGTATCTAATTATTTTAGTACATTATTTTAATCGATTGTTTAGATTTTATGGTTTTGTTTTACTTAGGTTTAACTAACTCTAGCTTATTTTTAGTTTTATTGTTACCATATTTCTTATTTGTCTTTATTTGTATTTTTTTTTTTTACTATACTCCCTATTTGTTCTTATATTTCACTAAATAATTGATCATTCAGTTTTGATAGTCTTTTTTGTTTTAGTTGATTATATGTCATTTTGCACATAAATCTCATTGTCTTTCTCAGCTACACTGTAACTGAGTGTCCTTCTGATTGCAGTGTGAGTCTAAATAAAGGCTGTGTTAGGACACCATCAAACTGTGCATGACACCAGCCCCTGATGTATCTCGTTTATTTTCTTGCACAGTGACTTTATAAACAATCTCTTTACCTGTAAGTTAATGTGAAGAGATTTATTTCAGGTGATTTTGGAGCATTTTTATTGGTTCATTTATGATAAAATTTTCACACTATGTAAATGCCAGCTGCCATGTTCTAATGATGTAGAAAAATAAAAATGGAGATGGATTTTTTTGTTTTTGTTGTTGTTTGTTTTTTTGGACAGCGACGATTTGTGGATTGCATTCCCAATTTCCCTTTCCACACACAGATTGCCGTGACTCTTTTTGCCATTGCTTTCAATAAACAGCAAGTATATTTCCACATACAGGAAACACATGTATATCTCTTTTGGTGTGAACAGATTTGACCTAAGAACGTTTGAAATCTGAATTTTTTAGGAATGTGTGAAATTCCACAGATACAGCATGCATGCCACACGGCCCATTACCATCTATTTGTCCAGAGAGCTCGTCAAGAGAAATTAATCATCCTCGCTGGCGTCACTTCTTGTGCACTTTCTACTTTAAGCAGCTGAAATATTTGCAGGAACCCTTGTTGTTTGTTCTTCCCCGAGGCTGAGCACTTTCTGGGAGCGTGCCTGTTCCTGCAGCCAGCACACTCCTTCCCCTCTGGGTTGAACTGAAGTTTTGTGAAATTTTCTTTCACAACCTTCTCGCTGCTCTTTACGCCGTATCACAGTTTCCTCACTGTTGTTTTAAAATGATGTGAGAATTCACTCTTCAGCCGTAGATCAGTGGTGTACTTCTGTGCACAAACTCTCTGTGTTTTCCTCCTGAAAATGTTTTGGACACACCCAACATGCCAAGGCGTGTTATGATAAACTACAGTGCAGGTTTTGGCAGTTAAGTAATCTCCAAACCATTCTCTAGACTTTTCATTTCACTGTAACTTACATTCTGAAGCCCATATTACTGATATTCATATGTTGGTCATATGTTTGTTCATCTTTTGCTCTTGGTGTTATGGATTAAGCAGAGGTGTTTATGGTAAAAATGGCAGTTTGAATCACATTATTATACACGTAATGCATGTATAATGAAAATACTGCTCCCTACAGGCCTGTGCCACTACAACCATGTTCTCCGAGTTCCTTTCTTGGCAGCATTATCAGACAATTGAGACAAAACCAGTTCAAACTTTACTCTTTTTCCAAAACTGCTCCATTTCTATACATGTCCTTTGTCATGATCTATACAGCATGCAGCATAAAGAAGATAAAGAACCTGTAAAGACCTCTACTACTGCCTAACTATGGCCTTACCTCCTGAGCACCTCATGACGGAAGGAGATATTCAAAAAGGAAGTAAATTGTGATTTACAAAAAAAGCTCTAAAAAAGGCATTAGATCTGCTTTCCTAAAAAAGTAAAAAAAAATGTCTTTGTGGTTAAAGGTGCAGTGTGTAAAATGTAGGGGCTCTATTGGCAGAAATGGAGTATAGTATATACAAAATCATGTTTTCATTAGTGTATAATCACTTGTAATTATAAATCATTGTGTTTTCATTAGCTTAGAAGGAGCCCTTCATACCGACATAAGGAGCAGGTCCTCTTCCAACAGAGGCCGCCATGTTGCGCCACCATCTTTCTACAGTAGCCCAGAAAGGACAACCCAAACACTGTGTGCCTTTCACCTTTTTGTGTAGAAAGTGGCAGCTTTAATTCGGTGGCGCTATAGCACCAGTTGAAAGAAGAATCGTTGGTTGCTGCCATTGCTGGTCAACCATTTTATGTTGTAAGACGTTTGAGAACTCATTATTAAGCAGACGAAGAAGCATGGGAGAGTAAATCCTTGGCATCAAAGAAGCAAAAACATGAAACAAAACAACTATTCTGCTACACGCTTGGTAAGGGAGGGGTAAGGGAGGGGTATTCAGTTGGTTGCAATCTGCGACCTCACCACTAGATGGCACTAAATCCTACATACTGCATCTTTAATTAGCTATTTCTCACATTTCAAAATATTAAAGATATCTAATCTTTAATTCAAGTACATTTAGTCTAAGCGAACAAATACCATTATTAAAATAATTTTTCAAATAAAAATGCCTGTCACAATTATTGGCCCTCCTTCATTTAGTACTTTGTGCAATATCTCTCTGCCAACATAACAGCAATGTGGCCTCTCCTATGATGCTTGTGAAAGTGGGACAACAGAGCAGGGAATCTGAGGCCACTCCTCAATAGAGAATCTCTTCAGATTCTTCTGGGTCCTAGGTCCACTCTTTTGGACTCTCCTCTACAGCTCACCTAGGTTTTTCAGTGGAGCTTAGGTCAGGACACTAGGACAGATGGTCATATCAAAATCTTGATGTAGTCATCTTTTTTTGTAGATTTGGACATTTGTTGTGGATCGTCGTTCTGCATTGAAAATGATTATTCCCTGAAAATCTATTATAACTTCATGGAGTCCATGATGCCCTGTATCCTATCAGCTCTCAAACATCATAAATCCTCCACTGTTCTTATCTACGGAGCCCCTGAAGGGACGTGGTGTATTTTTTTTCCGGTAAAGAAACTTAATTTTTTTTTTTTTTTATGTAAAAATCTGGTGCGCACCAGATACTATCAAGTGAGCACCCGATACTATGTGGTGAGCACCTGATTCTATGTGGTGAGCACCTGATACTATGTGGTGAGCACCCGATAGTATCAGCAAAAAAAAAAAAATCTTGTAATCCTTCATCATTCCGTCATGGAAGAAGACATTTATGACTTTTTAGAGTCGCGACAGGTGGCAAATACAGCGACTTAAAGATGATAAGGTAAGTTCTATTGTTTAGACAGCCATAAAAACTTTAAACATTACCAATTACCCATTCAAAGAGATATAACTATATGAAGGCTGCCTTTGCTAGATACGGTTAGCTAGCTAGGTTAACTTAGCTAGTGATGAGGCTTGCGTTGCTCTCCGCACAAAACATGTTAGGCTTGGTGAAAGTAGCCCACATGTTAGTGCTCTGAAGTTTTTTGCTGCAAAAAAAGCCTCCTACTTTATGCACTTCTCTTCATAGTTAACTAGCTAACGCTAACGCTAGCTAACGTTAGCTCTGGGCTGATAGCTAGCTAACGTTAGTTATAACAAGTAAATCTGTAGTAACTAGCTTCTCAGCATGATAAATTACAGTAAGTCGCTAATTTAAAACTTTTTGTTCATATTACGACACATTCATAGCTACCTTTCAGTTTAGGCTATTTAGCTAGCCATGAAAGTCCCTAAAGTTTGCTAACAGTAGCATTTTGCTATTAGTTTGTTAGCTAGCTAGCGAGCTAGGTTAGCTAACTAATCAAGAACATTGTCTACGTGAC